CCCAAGCACATCACGAAGCTCTTCTAGATCTTCGAGAGACTATCGACAAATCGAGTATGGCGAATTCCGGTGGAACCTTTCCGGAAAATCCAATGGAGTCAACGGAGTCGCCCGGGTCGACCAGTACGCCTGCTACTCCTGCTACATCTGCTACACCTGCTACCACTGGTTATGTGCCTCTTCCGCCGACAGCAGCGAGCTCGAATACTACTACTACGCCTGCCTCGACGTATAGTACTCCAACCCAGGCGGCGCCACCCCCTAGGACAGTCTTCAAAGTAAGTACACACATCCAGCAAAGTACGATCTGAATGAGTTACTGACACCTGTGTAGTACTCAGCACGCGGTTCAAAGACCCATGGTACTGTCTCGCACATGAACCGCCCGACCCTCCCCGACGAAACCGATCTCAATTTCGATCAATCTGAGGTATACCGGCATGCGGTGAGCTCGATAGGAAACCAGCACGAACTCTCAGACCAGGCGGTCGTGAACCTCAGCACACGACAAAATGCCACCCAGGAACCTCAAGGACGTGTGCTTGGCACAAGTGGACAAGCAAATAACCCAGATATTCGTATTGCGAACAGCAGGAACATAGACCCTAATACGCGATTGAAGGTCGAGAAGGACAAAAAAGGAAACTCTCGATATGTTCGACGTCAAGACTGATGAGACGAACCAAGTACAACCCTGCTGCAAGGACACACCCAGCCGAGATTCTTTATAGGGACGCGATGTCGTTTTCATTTCGATCTACGTCTTCCTCATCTGGCAGGCGATATAATTTCGACGCCACGAACCGACTTTCGCTATATATGAGCTTCATGTATCAGGACGACCATGTCGGCTTTGCTGGCCTTTGTATCCACGTCATGGCGTATGATCGGCTCTCTAATTTCAAATGTTGAGGTTGATTCCCTGGTTGCTGTTACGATACCGATGTCAGCCTTGTTCAACTATTGGATGATTAGCAACATTCTCCATCTCTTCTCTACTGTAGCGATAAAGCCAGAGACATCGCGCAATCGGTATGTTTGGACTATCGTCTAAGATATCTCTTCATAGTTAGCAGCTGCACTATGCGCGGAAAATACTTTACTTTTTCTCCGAAGTTGGTACCCCTTTCCAACGCCTCGCTTCTTCTGCATCCACTCAAGTGAGCTTAGTGCAGAACTTTGACGCATATCTAGACGCATCTGAACTATAGCGGAAACCTTCTAGAAGGAAGACAATCGATGTCAGATCTGCAAAACCCAGGTGCGTGCCCAGAGATTCGGATGCGCCGGATGCGCATGTCAGCGACACGAAGCTGTTGTCCATGCAAGGAAGAAACCGAACAGATGCGAGTAGGTCTTCTCCTACGCTGCAGCCCAGAGCGGCGAAAAACAAGCCTCTTAGAACAGCAAGAAGCATTCTTGACCTCCAGCTCTCTACTTACGTATACGATGCCCTATGCCTCACATCGCAGTAGGAAAACTTTTAATTTTTCCGTGCTCTAGACGCAGACGGCCTCTCTCACATGCGCGCTTGCCTCCCAAAACCAGTTCGTACTGGCCCAGCAGGGCGGTAGCTTCTGTCGCGGTCGGTAGAAAGTCGTGGGAAGCGGGCCGAAGGCGAAAAAGGACGCAGATGCCGAAAGTTTGACGTGCAGCGAGCCATCGTGTTGTCAGACAAGGCTGAAGCTCCTCGAGCAACTTTCCACGAACGGACGGTCAGGAGCGATATTACGCATGATCGGGCGTAGGCACTTGGCTGGCTGAGAAGGATCGCGACTGTGCTCGGCCAAGTCATTTTTCCCGGGGTAAAAGAAAGGCTAACGGGCCGTGCGCGCATACTCATCAAAAGAAGGCCCTCCTCAAAGCATGACGAGAAGAGCTCATTGGAGTAGCTGTTGTTGATTAATCAAGATCTTGTATCTTGTGTTCCGAATCGTGTGTCGCATGGTTCGAATGAGTTTCGATGCCTGTGCACGCCAGGGCTTCCATACCTCTTTTTCTAGAAAGATACCCACGTCCATCTCCCGTGGATGCGTCAAAGGGTACCACATTTGTCGTCAACCTGCGCACGCCATGGTTTTGGTGTGCAGCCGTGCGCAGAGCCCGCCGGCAGTCCGGCTGCTTTAGGGATAGGCGGGCCAGGCGGGCCATTGACACTACGCTCGGATAGCCCGATGTTTGAAGCTTGCGTGAGATTGAACGTACAGTGTTCAGAGCGTATCATGTTAGTGAGATTCAGTGCTTCGCTTCGTGACGGAGGTTTTGCACCCAGAGGGAACCTGGTTAGGAGAACCTGGTGTTGATGATCTTGTCCTGGGGGATAATCCGGAGCTAGCGCCGATCAGATTGTAGTGACCTTCATCACCACCGCAGTCGCGCCGCGGCATGAGACCTGGACTCGATGAGTACACGATGTCGTTGAGAAGAACACGGCTCATTGCGCGAGAGTGTGTAATCATCCGGTGTTTCCACAAGCTCCCGCTGCCTATCCACCAACCACGATCTGAGGTTTGACCTTCACATTAACCGAAGGAAGAGCTCCTCGTGGCCCAGCCGAAGCCACTGACCCTCTTCAGTGGTGCCGAGACTTTTCAACACTCAAAATACAGTAATGCCGGCCGTGCCGCAGGTCGGTCTTTGGGTCGGTGGTATGCATGATCGCACGCCTGTCAGATGACGCTCTGTTCCCCTCATCCCAGGTGGGAGGTTCAGCTGTTGTTGACTTTCGGGTGAGTTGCTTCACAGACCACCGTGTTGCGCGCAAACCACGAAGCAAAAGACGACATAACGGCGGGCGCAAGATTGAAGCCACTGCCTTCTAGAGCATCCCCACGCGCCGGGAATATCTGCTGCTACGTTTCGCATATAACCCGCTGCAACGCTTGTGGGCTAGCAAGCACCTTCCCACGCTGCGGCTAGGACCATGTGGATGCCACGAGCGACGCTAGCGTTGATGGGTGGGGACCGGGGTCATCGCGTCTCTTCTCCCCAGCTTATAGTGGATCTGTAGATTACGATACTCCTTGTCGTGGGTTCATGGCATCTCTCAGCAAGCTGGGGCCCTAAAGCCGACTGTACATCATCGCCGCTTGCCCCCAGGGTAGTGCCTCTCTGTGCCTGCGCTGGTGCTCGGTCAAACGCCATATTTTTACTTTACTTCGCCTACGATATATTTTTGACTTTAGGTTCGACATGTTAGTTTTGGACAGCCGGAGGCCTCTTTCTTTTTAGGTGTACCCTATATACCCTTCGAAACGTTGCAGGATCAACCGTTCGTCAATCGCAATGACCATTCGGGAACCCCTGGACGTCGAATCGGCCTCGTTCGTACTACCGGCGCATATCCATCCGTGGTTACGCTCAGTTGTCGCTCTGGGATTCATCAGCTTCTTCGCATCGGTAGCACTGCTTTTCTTACTCACTTATAAACTGGTATCATGGCAATTACGGTCGAAGCGAAGCAATCAGTTCGTCATTCTGATATTCAACCTTCTCTGGGCGGACATTCAACAAGCACTTGCCTTCTTACTCAACGTCGAATGGCTACGATTGGGATCCGTCGAAGTCACCAATCCAATATGTTTTGCGCAGGGCTGGCTGGTCTCCACGGGTGACTTGGGAAGTGGAGTTTGGTGCTTCGTTATCGGATTGCACACATTTGCTTCCGTCATCTTGGACTTCCGCCTGAAACCACGGAGTTTCTACATCTGCATCTTTCTCCTATGGGCCTTCATCTTGGGTGTATCTTCAATTGGCCTTGGTATGCATGGGCAAAGCATCTACGTACGATCCGGAGTATGGTGTTGGATCCATCACGACCTAGAAGACTTGCGGTTGTGGACCCACTACATTTGGATTTTTGCGTTGTAAGTTTCTGGATACCACAAGATATGTTACAACTCTAACACTCGTTGCAGTGAATTCGGAAATGTCCTGATATACGCCATTATCTATGCGATGCTGTCGATCAGAATCCGCTCCGGCTACTACACGACCGAAGAAGCCAAGCGCGTACGTTCCATCGCAAACCTCATGGTCGTATACCCGCTCGTCTACGTCGTATGCACTATTCCCCTAGCCTCCGCCCGAATGGCGTCCATGTCCGGCAACCCGCCCTCGCTGGCTCGCCTTTGCTTATCAGGAGCAATGATCACATCAAACGGTTGGCTAGATGTACTTCTATACGCATGCACACGACGCATCATGATATTCTCCGATGAGCCACCCTCTGACGACGACGTCATGGACACCTTCGCTGCATTCTGGATTGAGAAGCCCAAGCGCTTTGGAGGCGAATGCACAATCGAAGCGACGAACGCACATACAAGGAGAGGGCGATCGAAGAGTAGGATTACGCTACCCTCAGGAAGTGAAAGCTCAGACGATCTCTGTGGGTTCGGTACAAAGGACATCAAGCTGGTCACTACAACAAAGGTCATAAGCGAGCCGGCACAACCGGAGGACTTTGAAGAGATGGACGCCGAGGCACGTATCACACGACCTCGTACACCGACAGGAAGATGGAGCGAGGAGACGACAGATACGGACAGAAGTCGCAATCTGAGTTTGAAGGAACAAGCGATACCTCACATCGCACCTTGAGGCTGCCTACTTGGTTACAGAACAACAAACTATTATTGCGACATGCATCGGCTGTCTACATGTATACGACAAGAACGGCAAAAACTAGGGACTTGCACCTCTTATGGTCGTCCCAGAGTCAGCACAAGAGGCCCACTGGAGTCATTCTGCACAAACGCAGGATGACGTCCATGTATCGTTGCCGAGGAAATACAGTAGACAAGTGACCACCGCCACTAGAAGTGCCGTCGTTATACCAGCGCGGCACGTGCATGAAGCGAGGGCCTCGCCCAAACATATAGACAATAGAGACGAACATTACGACCACTTATCTCTCAAACGATTCACTGTCACCACTCTCATATCTTCTCATAAATCATGAAACCTATTCCCCACAAACAAACACCATCCTCTCTCCCCTAAAGACTAGTCCCCGTCCCATTCGCCAACGCAGCAGTCAACCTCCTCCCATAATCCAGCGTATACGCCGAATCCACAAACTCATCAAAATACTTAACCTTCGTGCCATCCTCCGTAAACGTCAAGATAAGCGCATACTCATTCCCATACGGTCCAATCGCAGTCGTCGCCGTACTGCGCGCATGAATAATGCAGGTGTGTGCCTCGGGGTCGTGCGTTTCTTGTAGGACTCTAGCCTGTAGTTATCTTGGTCAGTTGTCTGGCTGTGTTGGTGTGTTGGTGTGCTTTTGAGATATGAGGATGTGTACCGTGAAGTTCTCGTACAAAGGCTCAATTCTTTTGAAGAATACGCGGTATTCGTCGTTGGTCATGGCTGTGCGGTTCAAGCTGGCGGGTAGGATGTTTTGCTTGCAGTCTGGAGTTCGGTAGCCGAGGATACGCTCGATGTCCCAGGCGTTGTAGGCGGCGATGACTTCTTTGGCTACGACTTTTTGCGCGGCGAGACTGGGTGGTTGTTAGGCTGATGTATTGAGGGAGTAGAGGTTCTGGAAGTCTTGGAGAGAACTGTGGTAGTTATTAAGGGGGACTTACTTGGCTTGGGGGATGACCTCAGCGTTGACGAGACATTTGTTCAAGTTCAGGCCTATCCATATGTCGCTGGTAGCCAGTGTTTCAGAGCTGGGAAAGGATGAGGCAGCAGCGAGGGTGAAGATAGTTGAGGTGAAAAAGGTTGAGGGCTTCATGATGGCTGTATGGCTCGACTAAGAGTTCGGTGTCACGGCGTGTTGAACACTTGCGTGAGTAGAAGTACATTATGTGTGTTGATGGGAGACTTTATATACTCTTGAGGTACCACTACTGATGCATGCCGCTAGAGTACCTCGAACGCCAACGCTAGGCTTGAGAACATTGGCTTCATAACATGGGGTTGGAATATCCGGCTGGCTGAGCCCATCTCCCGTTTCTGCAGCCTCGAAGTGGGAAACAATGACATGGCCTAAGGAGGGTACCCTACTCCACTCACTACCTTTCCAGGTTCACAAGGTCTTCTACAGCTGGAAGTTCGTGAGCTAGAGAAAAGATCGCCCTTGAAGAAGCTCGGGTGGCGTCATCGCAAGGCTGTGCATCGGCTGGTCGCTTGCTATCGTCACGGTAGAGACGGAACACTTCCAGTCCCGGATCGTGGCTTGACGGTGTATCGGGCTCAATGTGGAACTTGATATCCAGTGTTACATGAGGCTTGGTGGGCGAGCTTGCATACAGCTGAGGTCGAAGACTAAGGTAAGCGAATCGAATGAAACATGTCGGAGTAGCAGCCGGGACAAAACATCGGGACTGGTGGTGCATCCATTCGTAGACCTAAGGTCTGGGTATTTTGGGGGCCTAATTGCCTCTGCTCTTTGAGCTAATGGTACCTCTTTGCTTTTCTTCCGCTCCTCCTCACGTGGATATGTATATCCCTCGTCATAGTGCCACCTTGACCAACCAGAATCGGCACCAGACTAACACCTCAGTCGCAAGCCAAGCTGTGAAATCGTAATGAGAGACTCGTTAGATGTAGAAACTACACAAGCGATGTCAGTCAAATCCGAGAATCGCTAGTGCCTTGGGCTAGATGTAATCGTCAGCACAGTGATCTGCACGACAAGCCAAGGCGGGTCGGAACTGCAAGATTCCCTATCAAGCATATGAAGTCTGAGTGAAGTGGACACAGCAGGACGCCCATCTTCTTGCTCACGAGTTCACATGCTTACCCATTCCATCCAAGCCTCAAGGAACTTCAATCTGCCCTGCCTCATAAGCTCCAAAAACTCCTCGAAGTTGACCAGTCCGCTTCCTTTTCGTTCATCAATCTCTTGCTCAACAGCCTCAAGACTCGCTAGCATTATGAGATGTAAGTTGGACTTCGGGGTCATAGCGAGCTGTCGAATGGAGCGCTGCAACGGCTTAAGTTGATTCGCCTCAGGATCATGTGGACTCGCGGAATGATTGATCGGGTTATGAGCGCAAAGAAATGTGTCCAGGCCCTCCGAGTCTTGAGCGAAGAGATAGTAGAACTCTGGGTTGTCGGTGTACCATCGCCAATTGATCGTGTAGGGATCATCTTCTTTGTCTTGCTGTTGCACCGAAGAGTCAGGCGGAGGAGCCCCTACAGACGAGTCCATACCATCAGGTATAAGGGGCTCAGTTTCGCCAACGGATCTTTGCCCCGGATAACGTTCCAGGCCATCGTGGCCTGCCGTGATGAAGAAACAACGATTCATAATATCTTCGCCCGAGGTTATCGAGGATGTGTCAGTGTCGGAAATGACACTACTATTCGAAGAGCTGTTCGAGGTAGTCTGCAAAGTCGCTGCAGATGGAAGATTGGACGAGTTCGGCCGAAATTGAGGCATGGTAGGATCCCTGTGAATACTAGGCAGACTCTCATTCACGAGTGGTGGTATCAGCCAGCCTTTGTTGTCTATACACTCCATGGTAGCATCGACAACCTCTGATCGAAGCCGTGACCTGATCAACAAAGTGTTCCACGTCGTCATGTTGTCAACATTTGTGGGCCTGGAAACCTTCACGGATTGGAGCACTTTCGCTTCCACACTGTCGTAAAGTTCTTCGACTACTCGGTATGCTTCTTCTTGAGTGCATGGCGTATCGTCGGTACCGTTGCGGAATAAGCTTTTGATAGGACGTACATGGTTAAGGGCCCGACAGAATTTGTCGATCATGCACTTGGAGTATCGAAAGGCACCGACGTGAACAATGGCTTCGACAGCAGCCTTACTCTCTGTGAAGTGGTGCATAGTCAGCTCGTCGATAGCGGCTGCCTTTGCGCGACGCTCGCTGCGCATCTCATGTGCGTCCATGGCCATGTCTTCTTTCTCAAGGAAAAGCGGGTTAAGCAATTCGTTAAAAGCCTGCTGCGTAACCTGATACAGTACCTCTTTGCCAAGATCTTGTTCGGGCTCAGGTATCTCATAGCCACCCCATCGTTCTCCGAGAGGCCTGGATGATGAGGCGTTGGAGCGTGTGTCCATCTCCACGTCGTCCTGGAAGCGGACCCTTGAAGATGACCGCGAGCTCCTGTTGCGGGCCAAGTCTCCATTTGTGTCTGCAGCTTCAGTCGTTCCGTTCGCACCATCGGCAGTCTCTGGCTCGTCAGGATCTGATTCCTCAAACCCTTCGGGCCGCGTTAAACCTTCTTCTTCGTCGATGTAGTATTGCCTGCGGGCCCATCTCCGAGTGACGATGTCCGCCTGTTGTTCCCCTGGCGTTTGCGGTGTATAGGTGGGTGCGACGTGAAGAACACCTGCGGTCCCTATCATCTCAGCCCGGTTTGCCACATCGCTATTGTGCTCAAGCAGCGGTGGAGTCGTAATCACGTCTTCATCCCGCTTATGCCGTAGGCGGGGGTTGTTTGTGTTCGAGGCCGCCATATTACGGGGCGTAAAAGCAGAGCCAAGTGGCTGACTAGAGCGTATTGTATCCAAAGCTGTTCGCACAGTCACTTCGTCCTGCAGCTCTGAGATGTAGTTCCGTGTAGCCTCCTTCTCGATGGCGTAGTATGCCCTGAATATGCGTAGTACGTCCTTGCGCGATATGTAGCCATCTTCATCGATGTCGTATCCGTTGAAGACTATTCTGGCCTTGACATTCACATCAGAGTCGTGCATGCCGTCCAGACCCTTGACCCACTCATCAAACCCGATGAGGCCATTCTTATCCGTGTCATAGTATGCGAAGATGCGATCGTAGACGAGGTTCGGTGCGGCGACGAAGCCGTTATAGCGAGGAATGAAAGCGTGGTTGAAGTCGCGTCGATCGATGGCCCATCCTACCCCGGTTGCATCATCCGCCCACTCAGAGCCTGCGAGACAAGTGAACTGGTCCCACAGTGCCTCAATCTCCTCTGCTTCCATCTTAGTCTCGGCTACGAGGCGTCTCTTGAGGGCTGGGTCGATCGAGGGGCTCATCATGTGAGGCTTGCCGGGGTAGAGCGGTTCCTGTTTTTGGAGGCTCAGATATGGCGCAGGTACGCGGACCTTGTAGAAGATGTGGTTCTTGTAATGCGAGTTGGTTGCTTCGCAGTTGGAGCACAGGTCGAAGTCCGGGCAGTTGGCGCAATGCCACCTGGTTCCGCGGATGGGCTTCTCGTCACATCCATTGCATGTTATTCCACGATGTATGACGCCCTCCAGTCTTGCGCGATCCTCCGCAATGTGGTATAACGTGCGCTGCAGGGTTTGGCCTTCGGGATCGATAGCGTCATCCGCGTCCTCGTCGCTTCCCAACGACATGTCCGTAGCTGCGACGCTCTCGGCGTCATCGAGAGCTGGATTTTCGCCAGGAGGGAATATCTGCGCATGCCTTGCCGCAGCGCGGGCTACTGCAGCACGATGCACTCCTGCGTTATCGGGGTTGCGATGTTGCAGCCAGACACGGATATCATCTGCCTGCGACGGGGACAGAGCGCGGTCTGGGTAGAGTACGACTAGTAAGCGGTCGAGAAACTCGTTGTAGAAGCTCTCAGTGAGACGCTCTATCGTATCATTGTCGGCGTGTGGCTGGGCGCGCAGGATCGTGTCGCGTAACTCGCCCGGCGTGCCCAGATTGCGAGGGTCGAGCGGTACTTGGTAACCGAGGAGGTCGTATAGGCCTAGAAATGGTATGTCTCGTTCGTTCAGAGGGAGTGAGGGTGCCGATGGCTGGTCTCGTGGGCGTCGTCTACGGACCGCATTGCTGCGCTGGAGGCCATCGCCTGCGCCGGGGCTCTGGACGTTTGTGACAATGAGATATGTCGCGTATGCAGCGGATACGCCGGCGAGGAACAATATAGCGTTCCTAGAGCGGGATAGGGTGGAGGGCGTAGACGCCGTCATGCTCGTAACGATGCTTGGTCTTGGACGGGCGGTAGCTGGTTACGCCGCGGTGTAAAGATAATGGAGTAGGCGTTGAGTGGCACATGGCAGGTGTTCCCCTACCAGTCGTGCTGTTGTCACCCGTTTGAAGTCTTCATGGCGCAGAAAGAACGACCAAACGCGCTCTGGCGAAAGCGAACGTCCCCAGCCCTCCTGCCCACATTGCGACATTCGCGGCCACGCCGCTTACTCAGCATCATCCCACCGACTTCCGAAGCTCCGTATTGGACAGAACACCTTCACATATTCCCAAAGTAACAGCGGTTTGAACATCGTACTTTGTATTAGCAATTAACTATTCACTCTACCACGCAGCATGGCCACCATCCATCCTAAGGTCTGCGCCAGTCATGAATGAACTCGCATCACTCAACAGGAAGACTGCTGCACCACGGTATTCCTCCGGCTTCGACAGACGACCCAGCATGTTCTGCGTTGGCCATGTGTCTCTTCGCTCCGGGTACTTCTTGAAGAGCTCCTCCACCATTGCCGTCACAATGTATCCTGGCGAGATTGTGTTGACGCGGATGTTGTGCTCGCCCCATTCCGATGCGAGGTTGCGAGCGAGTTGTATTACACCAGCTTTGGACGCGTTGTATGCTGAGCAGATGAGACCCTGTTGACGTTGTTAGTGTGAGAAACGGTAATGACTTGGGACCGCCATACCCTGTTTGCGACAGTGCCGGACATGCTGGCGATGAGCACGATACTTCCTCCAGTTCCAAACTTGATCATCTGCTTCGCGGCTGCTTGCGCAGTCATCATTACACCGGTAATGTTGACCTCGAACATGCGGTTCGCGTCTTCAGCTGTGTACTCCAGCGCAGTGGTTTCTTGCTGAATACCGGCAGCAGCGATCAACCCATCCAGTCTGCCTTCCTTGTTGGCGATTTCCTCAACAATCTCGTGGAGCTTCTTCACATCTCGAACATCTATTTGGCGGTATTCGAGCGAGGTTCCGTATTCTTTCTTTGCTTTCTCGGCGGTTGGCGCAAAGTCTGCTGAGGGTTCTTCGAGTCTGTCAAGTGCGTACACTGCAGGCGCATATCAGTTCAGGATCTTCTCGTCACTCTGGATATGTGGAGATGCATACCTCGTGCGCCAGCTTGCAGCAACGCTTCGGCTTGTGTCAAACCGAGTCCCCGAGCAGCACCCGACACCAGCACCACCTTTCCCGCTAGGCTAAACTCTGGAAGTCCTTGGGTAGCAGGCATGGTTTGGATCATTGAATATCAGCGATATACGAAAAGAGACGAAACAGAACTGAAGATCAAAGTATGCGTAAACAACGTCGCTCGCGGAAGGGTATTTATACAAAAGAAGAAATGCGAGATCGGTTCGTCAATTCCACGCAAGCCGGGGCCATTGTGGACTTTTAAACCGGCTCCAGGCGGAACTCTGGTCACCGGACTCTCTTGGTATAGGCCTGGCCTCGGACTCTCTTGGTATAGGCCTGGCCTCGGACTGTCTTCCTCCACGGCATGCATGGACGATTGTGGAAGACCGCGATGCTCTGTTTGCGGGGAAGCCTCCCGGCATCTTCTGTGGATTGCCTAATCGGGGATACCGAAAGGTCCCCGCGGGGGATTCCAGGTGAACTTTTTGGAACGTCACCCATGTCGACCAGCGTGGCGTGGACCCTGAGCCAGTTGGGTGCTCGGCCTCGAGGCGAGAGTATCCAGTTCGGTTTCGGGACATAAAGGTCCATGGTGCGCGTGAAGTTTGACACACGCGTATGAGTGCACAGTCCAAGTCAGTCAACGCGGTTTCGGACAGCACCAGTTCGCTGAGGTAGCTATTAAGGTGACAGTGTATGTTACTATATGAGCTCGTTATCTCATGGCTTTGGCTGCAGACGCGTTCATGAATTATCTATAGACTCTGAGAAGGCTGTGATGGCTTTCTCTAGTAGTCTGAGAGAGCCTGAAAGCCATGTCCAACACGCGGTCGTGCAAGACACAGATTGATGGTGAAAGCAAAAGAAGCAACGCTACGTGCTCTCATTCCACATTGTTTGCGTTCATTTACCGTCCTGGTCCTCCGCATGCCGAAAGTAACGTGTTGACTCAAGTTGCGACAGCCTCGCCAACTGCGCCCTCCCTGCCCTGCCTTCTGTGATGAACCGCCCTGGGCCTGATCGCTCAGCAACCGCCTTGTAGGCCGCCTAGGCACAATTGCGCGATCACACGATTACACGATGCCTAACATCCAGGCACATGTTGCGCGAGGAAGGCACAGCTAAGCCCCCAGTACGGCACAGTTCTGTGTCGCGAAGCGCCGCCCAACAACCTTCACAGTGCAGTTGAAACGTCGAAAGTTGAGAACGGAAGTTGATAAGCGACTATGGAGTAGAGCAACGCCGCGGGCGGAAATATCAAAGACATGCGTTCGCTGCGTGAAGGTCGCCAAAACGCCGGCCGCTGTGTGTCCGAAAGGATGCTGTCCCGGGCTTCAGGCAAGCCGGTCGCAGCTGCCTCCCGCAGTGCGCCCAGTGCATTGTTCCAACAACGCCTTTCATCCACCAAAATACCCCATTGTGCCCGCCCATCAGAACAACAATGTAACTGAAAGCCTACGCTGCGCGCATGCCCACCCACAGCGCCTCGCTCGCACACGCGCTAAATCCCGCCTGGTGAGGCTGCCTCCAAGGCCCAACGCCGCGGGGCAGTGCATGCAACCACCCATCCGCAAAGCCAGCAACCAACGAAAGAACGCCCATGCTGAAACCCCGTTTAAACGCCGGAGGCAAGGCACAGCGCAAAAATGTCTCTTCTCAGATTTATTGAGGCGCGGTACTGAATGTAAGCGGGAACCTGGCAGATTGACAAGTCGTGTGAGGCTGCTTGCTGCGCCTTCAGGCCGAGATGGTGGTTTGTTGTTAGTTGTGTATGTGGAGGGAGGTGATTGACCGGAAGAGGGGGAGTGGGAAAAGGGATATGTAGGGTGTGGGTTCGCGCTTTGGGGTGTTTTGTTCATACCAAGGACTTTTACGCACGAGAGATTCGATTGTACCCACTGTGTGTATACGGTCTGCATCTGGTATATCCCTTACACACTACGCACATCTACATACTATCGACACCCACACAAATAATGGCACCACACTCCCTCCACACATCAGTTCTCAAACCGTCCCCACACCATCAAAAACGTTCAGAATACTGCGAAACGACATACGACTCCTCCTGCAACACCCACCGCACCGTCCTTCTCATCATCATCATCTTCGTTGGCGCTTTCGTAGGCGTCGTCCTCAGCCTAGTCTATGTGCGCAGCCGGAGTCGAAGACACGACCGAGAACGTGCTTTGCGCATGAACGGCGGACCGGGAAGCGGGCTAAGGGTGTTGAGGAGTGAAGATGGGGTAGCGACAGTGCGGTTACCGTCTGGAAGGGTGATTGGCGGGAAGGCGGAGAGCTGGGATGGGAGATGTTCACCTGAAGCTCCGCCACCTTATATGCCTAGGGTACCTGAGGCTGCTCGGGTGGGTCACTGAGAGAGTTGGAGAAACACGAAAAGGGATGTCCGTTATGTTTGAGAAAACGACTGAGAGGCACTCTTTTCATGTCGTGGCTTGTCCAGCGCATCGCTTTGCTACTACTCACATTGAGCAGAGTACAGTGTACGCTCTGCTCCACGAAAATATCGAATTTTGCAAGGAGCCCTCGAAACCAACGATACCGGCCGTTGGGACACGAAGATCTTTCTTTTCAACTCGGACCTTTCCAGGTATACCAGTACCAGGACGACAGCTTAAAAGCCATCAGGGCAAAAAGACTGGGACCCACTCTTTATCAGTCCTTCCAGATGGCTACGACTACGCATATGATGTATGAAAAGCCAGCGCGCCATCGCGCCGAGGAGAAGTCTTCAAGAACGACGTAATGGAAAACTGAAACGACATTGGGACGGAAGTATAGATACCATAGTACTTATCATATTGATTCACCTCTATCAAGATCCTAAATCACCCATATCATCATGAAAAATTTCCCATCGAAGAAGGAACTAACGCCAGTCTCTACCAACCCCCTCTCGCGATGTAGATGACCATTCTTGCCTCCCCCTCTTCTCTCATCGTATTGATCAAGCGCCTTGTAGGCCAAGGCCTACCCCATCGCCATTGCCTATGGAACCACCATCGTCCCTGCTTCTATCTCTTCCTCTCCCCATTTCCCTGATTCTGCGACCCTCCATCAGGCCCCGCAGACCTCGCTTTTGGAGCCCAACCACTGCGCTCATTTCACCATTCCAGGTTTCTCTGTCTTCGATGCCACTTCCATCCCCGAAACCGCTGTCGGAGGCCGAGGCCGACGTAGATTCAGACGCCGCTGAACTGACCTCATCGTCGTGATTTCGATCTACGTCGGTGTTGACGCGGAGTGCGCGCAGACCGGCATCCAGACTTCGTTCGACGTCCGCGACTGTGCTGTTATTGCTCGAAACTGAGTTGGAGAAGCCATTTGTGGTCCCGTTCGTGCCTGATACACCGTTGACGCCCTTGAAAGCAATACCGGAGCCACCGCCAGCCGCCATGGCCGCAGCATTGAAGATGGCCGCGGTATTTCTGTTATCCAATAGGACGTGAAGTCGTTCGATAATCGCTTCCAACAGACCATCGATATGGTACGGTCGCGCTAATTGAAGAAGAGAGCAGAGAATCTGCGGTGAGCACAAGGCGGAGTTATGTGGTGGTAGTGATGATGTGTATAAGAAATGTATAAGCGCTTGAAGTGTGAGATGAGTGTGAGGTAGGAATAATGTTCGAGGCCGTTGTGATGGTGAGTGTGATGAAGGTTCTGGTGGGCTTAATGAGGAGTATGAGTTCGCTGATACAGCTGTAGCCTCTGATGGTGTTATAGTGTTGGCGGTAAGCGTTGTGGCTGTTGAGTAGTTCGTTCGGATAGAAGGTGTAATAGTTATGCTTGAGTTCCTCGAGGGATGCATTGTGGCAGTGGGCCGTAGAGTCGCCGCCTCAGCGTTTTCTTTCTCCGCGCTTTGAGCACTCTCGCGGAGTAATTGGTTGAAATAAGGACCCCAGCGTCGAGCAATGATGTGGGAATTAACGGGTATGCGCTCGCCATGTAAAGCGAGGAAATCCATATCGGCAAGTTCCTTCATACCCAACGCCATTTGACCTAGCTCGGTCGCTGCGGGTAGCAGTGTGCGGCCACCAGCAAGCATATCAAGTCTATCATGCTGTGGCGGTGCGCTGACAGAGTTGAACCCTGACGCAGGCGTCACCTTGCGTGGGTTGTCATAGAGCCCGAATGCTTCTAGCTCAACAACGCACATGTTCGAGAAATTGATGCGCCGATGATTATAGTCTTCGACCAAGCTCCTCTTACGGTTGCCGAGAATGACGAAACAATTCCGACGGTTCCAGAGCACACCTCTGTTCCAGCTTCCCTGGCTGAAGATGTTGCCGCCGGCTTCGATTCGTCCCCAACTAAGCGTTCGCAAATCAAGAGCCCAAAGCGCATATTCTTGTTTCGACGATGTCAGAAATGTGCCGCTAACTACAAAGTGGTTGTTGATAACACCACCGTTCGGGAAACGGAGACCTGGCGGCGAGAAGTTGCCGTGCATTGGCTTCTCGGAAAGCGTACCATCGGGGTGCCGCACTTGTAGTTCGAGCTTGACGTCCAGGAAATTGTAGTTTGAATAAATGAGCATCGATGACTCGCCAGTCTTGTTCGGACTCCGTTCCTCCGGTGTTCTTGCCTCACTGCCCTGTCGTGTTCCTCCACCAATATCGTTCGGGTCAATGCTAGTGAGGGGCGCGACTACGCTTCGGTATGCGCCACAACTTCTGCCCAATGTGCTCGTTTCCGTCCACTTCAGACTCCGGAGGTTGAATACGCTGATTTGTTCAATGTAGTGATTGGCGCTGTCCTGACCACCCACAACAAGCATTTCTGCACCGCCCTCGCCATCTAACTGCACTCCCAGGGAACCTTGGTTTGGATTCGATGAAGGTGGATTGTGTCGTATGGCTGTCACCGCAGCTCCGGTCGAACTGAAAACGGCCGAGCTAGGAAGTATGGTCGCGCAGTGAGCATAGCGACCCTGTGGAGATTCGCTTGTAGAAACGTGCATCCAAGTTTTTGTCGGCGCATCATAGATGTGAACATCTGACATGACCACCACCTCGGGTTGTGCATCGGCTGGAGCACCTTGTATCACGGAAGTTGCTTGATTAGAAGACGAGCTTACAGGTGACATGCCTCCATAACAAACCAGCTTCGTGTCGCCAAGCGGACAAACACTGTGGAAATAGCGAGGAGGCGGGATGTCACCTTTGGCGTCGACTTTTGTCCAGTGGCGCTTGACAAGGTCAAGCTCGTACAGGTCCGATGTAAGCTGCGGTCTTGTTCTGGAAAGTCGACGGCCGCCGAAAACATACAACTTGTCGCCTAATATTGTGGTGGTGGCGCCTACGAGCGGGTGCGGTTCCCTGCCTGTTGTGCGATGTACATTGCAGACTAAGCCCGACAACCCCGCGGTTGAACTCGTTGGTGTCGCAAGGCCTGCAAGCATGGCTGGTGACTGAGAGATCCCAGGCGTCCGGGTCGACGATGTTCCATCTTGGCCATCTTCATGATGCAAGCTGGTCTGGCTGTTGTTTCGACTCGATAAATAGGGTGCCGATGTCTGAGAGTTCAGGGTGTTGGTCCGGCTAGCCATCCTGGTCGAGATATGTAGAGAAGGAGGTGCGCGCTGAAATCCACCAAGATCGAAAATGGGGTCGATAGAAGACGGTGAGACTCTTTGTAGAAGTATGGCCCAATCTGGTATCACAATCTCCACATGACGAGGCGAAACGCTGAATTCGCTGGAGGGTTTGTCGCTTGGCAATGGAGAGCCAGCGAGGCTAGGACTACCACTCGATCGCGAAGGGCTATAATCAATATTCGTACAAGGACTCTCGGGTGTTACAATCTGATCATAGACAATGGGCACGTGCGACAAGGCCGGAGGACCACCGGATTCGGGTGTGTTTTCCGATTGGATCCTGCGATATGCGCTGGAAGCAAAGCCCGTGGAGTCGACGGGTCTTCTCTTCTTCGATAAGATTTGCTTGATGTGTAATTTTCTAGACTTTTTCCAAAACGAAGAGGTGTCACCCAATGGTTCGGTACTAGAACCGATGGATGGGTAAGAAAGGCCTAAAGGTAATGCCATGTTAGCGTTCGGTCTGCAAGGTCCGAGAAAGCAATACTGAAAGAGAAGGAATCGCCAGATTTTTGAAATATTCCCATGTTACCAGCAGGGCCGAGCTACCAGCAAATCTCACTGACCCAGATGGGAAAGCCATGTTTACACATGAGGGATGAGGATGTTGCTGCAGGTAGTGCGACTTGCTACGGTGGTACGAATGCGCCTCATAGTAGGACAAGGAAAAAAATCCAGCTTTTGCAGGCAGAGGATTCGGATACATGTTGATATTGGCTGCACGCAGCAGTGGCTGGAAGTTGTCGAGACGAAAGAGAGTGAGGGGTGCAAGCTTATAAAAGGAAGACAGGTCTTACTTGAGGGTGAGCGCCACACTTAGGAGGCCACACCTAGGAGCGGGGAAGATGAGACCCAGGGGAAGGGTAGACGTATGCAGAGAAGGAAGACAACGCGTCGTCTTGCTGAACTTCAGGGCCCGCGCGATACAGAGATGACAGCAAGCCTGAGCGAGGTTCTGTGGAGCGCTCTATCCCGGATGCAGCCTAGAGGCTTGGCGTAAATCGTCAGTCTCAGGTGCCTGCAGGTCGCTAGCAAGGGAACAATGTTGGGCGTCTCTAACGTCGAGCGCCGTCGGTGCAGCTGCAGCACTCGAAAGCTGGAGGCGTTCCTGTGGGTGAAACGGGTAGCAGCCCTGAAGGAGAAACCAGGCGACGGCCGGGTGCGGGGCGGGATCCGAGATGAGAAGATGGGCTGAAACTCGAGACGAAAAGCCGTTGGGCACCTCTGGAGACCACAGGCAGCAACGGCAAATAGCAAAGGTCAATGTGCGACACGCAATTCTCGGAGTGCAAGGGCGCCGTAACCTTTTCCTTGACGAGGCTTGCAGAGGTATCTCATCAACGTTCAAGCACGGTCGCCAAAACAAATTAGCGCAGGGAATGCCGGTCGACAAATCAAGAGTCGTATGCTCAATATTAGAGGCGCTGTTAGCTTAGCAGGCCCGTCTAGGTGTCTTCATATCGGATGATCGGTGAGGCTGAACCCAAGGAATTATTTGGAAAGCGTGAATGTAGTAGTCGAAGACGTTCCGGTAGTGCATCGGACTGTGCCGAAAAGAACGGGCTGGAATAGACGCAGTAGTAGTAGACTGTGCCGAAACGTTGCTTCTCGGCCTCTAGCACCGTCGTCATTGTTTTCCAATCGGAGGCCAGACACCCTCAGCGCGTTCTCGAGTCGACACAATTACAATGCTAGTTCGATATACGTCGTATTTACGACGCCATGTGTTCAGCAGAAGTCTTGCAGACTGAGGGATTCGTAGATGTCCAAGAAGACGGCCAATCCGCTACGTTGGTACACTAGACCCTGGAATTCTACCTAGGTACGCTCGATTCTACGATAGAGAACTCCAAAATTTGACAGGTTACATAACTTCTCAGTGCGATGTTATTACGATACGATCCTTCCTAGACGACAGCGACTCAAGGCTGGAAGGAACGACATGTGCGTAGCCGCACAATGACTCGAGTACATTGAGCAAGGAGTCTAGATGGAAAAGTAAACCTTGTTACTAGTCAAACCCACGTCATCGCAGGGTAACACGACACTAGAGCATATTAGAGTTGGTGTTGGCTGCCGCCTACACAGCATCGAAACCGTGTGTATGAAGAGTACATAAGCATGCGGAGATTCCTACATAGAGCATGTAGTAAGGGTTTGTATAGTATGACTCTTTTTCAAATAGTGCGACACAGTTTCCGTCGTCCCCAATGTTGATCGACATGGTAGTTAAGACATTGATGACAATAAAAGTGCAGGGTGTTCGTCAAACACACCACTCGCTATCTGTCATGTGGATGTCATCCCACAACCAGGGCTGGAAGGAGAACCTCAATCACGCCCCTCAATCACCTCTAAGCGATGAGATACCCCATATGCCTTGTCGTAGATGTCGCGAGCCTCAGCAACCAGCTGCTCCCTCTTGACCCAAGACGCCAAGTGACGCTGCCCTACCCATTTGACAAGGTATTCAATACGACCATCACTGCCAGTCTTGTGTGCTTGTATCCGCTTGTATGGCCATTCCCAACTTGCCTCATCATCTGCTTTCATCGACCACACGCCCCAGCCCTCCTTCATTTCTCCATTCTCCTTCTCGTAGTCCAACGCCCATTGCCTGAAGAAGGCCGCAATCCAGGGTTCTTCGTCGGGTGGGTAATCGTCAGGATCGTGTTCGCGGGGTGGGAATTGGGTATGCTCGAGTTTGGGTGCGCTGAGCTCTGAGCCGTAGTGCTTGCGCGCATCTGCGATGTTGATGGCGAGCAAGAAAGGATCCAGCAGCTCAGCAAGGTCGATACCCGTATGAAACTGCCATTCGTATCGCTTCAGGGTGGTGCGAACGTGAGCGAGGAGTCGCTTCTCTGCTTGCTTTGGTAGCGTATAGGCTTCGTCGTCTTGAGCGAGTTGTCGAAGAGCATCCTTGATACTACCGAGCATCTCTCTAGCACGTACTGTCACTACAAGTGATCCAGCAGCCGCATTCTCTCTCGCCCATGCTGCGCATAACTCGCACGCATCTGGTCGTAAGGGAAGGTGCGCATCGCACCAAGGTAGTGGGCACTTCGTACTCGAGGAGAGGTGCGTCTCAATACATTCTCGGCAGAAGATATGAGAACACCCAATCTTGACTGGTATCACCTTGTCGCGGCCGTCGGGGGTGCTGAGGTAGTCTTCGAGACAGATTGAACACTGCACCTTCTCTGCGGACAGTTGCCTGGTAGCTCGGACAATGGTCATGAAGTGAGGACATGATGCCGCGCTCGACTTGCGCTTCGATGGAGGCAATTCTAAACCCTCTTGCTCGGACGGTGGGGCCTTTCGCTTTCGTGGGCTTGTCCATACACCGGTGAAGTCCGTGCTGATGTTGTCAAAGTAAGGAAAGGGCATCCTGAGTAGCTGCAGTTGCAGTGCCAAAACTCAAAGGAATCAATGAGGTCAATTCAAACGATTGGGAACAAAGTGACAGCGTGGGGGAGATGGTGGAAGAAGTGGCTCAAGACGTGGGAGTTGGGGCACGCGAGGCTACCGCTGTCTTGAAAGACGGGAAGGTGCGCCTCACCGCGACTCCCCCGTCTGCACGGAAATGGCATGGGGGCAGCACTGATGGTAAGAGACCGGAATGTAAGGTAAGAGGCAGTGGAGACCGGTCGGCAATTCGTTCGAACTATCTGCCAGGTGACTCATTGCGGCGCGGTATCCTGTGTTACAGGCACTTTCTTCTCTCTCACAACGGGTATCTCCTCCTCATACACTTCTTCCACACGCGCACCAGGGAACGCTTTCCTCAGCTCTTGGCCCAGAAAGCGAATGCCCCAATCTTCCCCTTGCCGATGTCCTACGCAGACTACTGACATGCCCAGTGCTTTGGCTGCCTCCATGCCACTGACTCTGGGTTGACCGGTCAGGTAAAGCAAGTGTCCACCGTCTTCACCCTCCGTTATCCACCCGCGCTCCTGAGCCATTGCCAACACGCGATGCACCTCGTCCTCGTTGAACGCGTTCATGATCGCAATGATGCGTATCTCGTCCGAGGATCCTTCGTGCGCGAGCTCCGATGCTCCAAACTCATCCTGTACTTGGCTCAGAACTGCATCCAGAGATTTAGAGACCTGACCGATGATTCCAATCTTTCTTTCTGGATCTCCTTTGTAGCCTTGCACGCAGAGGCAGTCCGCCGTCGCCATGCCCAGGCGCTCCGCCAGCACCGTGTTCCATCCAACAGTGAGGACTTCGTCGAAAGATGTGTGGCTCGAAAGTACAAGTGTTCCTTTGCGCACGCTGCGCCTGTCGAGCTGGAAAGGCCGGTGCAGAAAGCACAGTGTTCGCGGCGGCCGGGGGTATATTCTTGGGAGGAGCGTCGTTGCGCCAATGGTGCTCTCGTCTAGTGGGTAGCCGATCAACGAGTATACCCCTGGTGTAGGAGTAACACTCAATACGATCTGCTCAACCACGGCAGTCTCAGGGTCGTATCGAGGGTTTCGCGGTGTGTGGTAGAGTCGCTGGACATCGTTTTCCTTCGGTGGTAGGAACGTCTCGACGAATCGCGTTACGGCTGCATGGGTGGGCTTCTTCGGTCGCGACATTTTGAAGAGGGAGGTCAGCAGTCTGTTCATTAGTAGTGATCAAGAAAGCCTTTCGAAAGCTTCGCGACTTTTGGCTTCAAGTACGTCATCATCGCTTCTAAACCGTGAAGCGGTGGGTGTGCAGGCCCCGCCATCGTTCCCATCGCGTTCACTATCGCCATGAATACGCCAAGAAGTAGGGACTATGTTTCGAAGGCCGTGTTCGTCGCGCGACGCGATGATGCACAGTGCAGAGCGGTATCGTGGCGGGCACCTGGAAAGCCTGGAGCGCGTTGATCGGATGGGAAGACACTAGTCCCATCGCAGTCTAGTCTCAATACAGCCACTCCATCTCCATCCGCATTTTCCTCATGTTGATTGACGACGATGCAGTCTAAAGAGAATCTAAACATCTAACTTGTATCTTGACGGAACCATACATAGTGGAAGCCCTTCAAGTAGTGACGTTTCATGTCTGTAGTCAATGCTCTGACTAAACGCACTATTTCCCTCGGCTTCTCTATCTTTCGCTCCAGAGTGCTCTTGACGTCGAGTCATACTCCATCGCCCATCCAACGTCCTCAACCCACATATCGATCTTACAGCTTTGTCACTATGGGCGTGACTGCAGCCCCTACTCCCGCCATTGTTGGCGCTTTGCAATGCCAAAAGAATTCTTATCTCCAAACACTCGAGACGGAGGTAGTATCCTGCGAAGAATACGTACCACCAAAGTCCTCACAACAGAATGGCAAGTCAAAAACGAAGAAGTCCACAGACCCCACCAAGGGTCTTGACAACGGAGATGCAGCATCCGGCAAGACATGGCTTATCGAGCTTGCGGACTCAGTGTTATTCCCGGAAGGTGGTGGCCAACATACAGACTATGGTGTCCTCACAACACTGAAAGATGAAAAGAAGGAGGAAGTACCGATAAGGAGTATACAACGTCACGGTCTCCGCTGCATTCACTTTTCTCCCACACCCCTCGAGCCTGGAACACCAGTTCGTCAAACCGTCGATTTCGCCCGCCGCTGGGACCTTATGCAACAACACACTGGCCAACATCTCCTCTCAGCCGTCATGGACTCCATGGACCTGCCTACGCTCGGCTGGAGCATGGGTCAGCCCGGAGAAATGAACTACGTAGAACTACCACGGAAACCATCGGAAGAAGAACTCCAAACTATTCAGAAAAATTGCAATGCCAAGATTAGGGAGAGCATGCCAATCACTGTGGAAACACCAGAAGGCAAAGGAAGCGATAGCCTACCTGAAGACTATGATAAAGAGAAGGGCGTCGTCCGGTTCATCAAGATTGGGGATATGGACTACAACGCTTGCTGTGGGACACATTTGCAGAACTCGTCGCACATTAATGTCATAATGCTGCACCACATGCAATCGGTACGAGGCACCAACTGCCGGCTCTTCTTCACGGCTGGAGATCGCGCTATCAAGATGGCTACGGAGTCTATCAACGGTCTTCGCTCCATCGCTGTGTCTTTGTCATCTGGGTCGGCGCCTACGGATGTTGCGGCAAAAGTACAGAAAATGAGCGACCAAATCTCTGAAGGGCAGAAGAAGGAGAAGAAATTACTAGCTGAGATAGCAGCTTTCGAGGGTGATCGCTTGAAGAACTACCTACAAAGCCACGATAAGGCCTTCATGCATCGCGTAACAGATGGGCTTGACTTCATCAACCTTGTGCTCTTCGAAGTCAAGGAAATTGTCAAAGAGCGAGAGGCTGTCGTGGTCCTGTCTTCGGGCGAGGTTAAGAGCTCTGGATCCATCGTCGTGTTTGGAAAACCTGACTTGGTAGAGAAGATGGCGGCGAAGGTGAAGGAGGTTGTAAGCACGGCGAAAGGAGGCGGCAAGGGAGAAAAGTGGCAGGGCAAGGTCACTGAGTGGCAGAAAGGCGAAGTTGAAGCGTTGAAGCAAGCTATTGATGCGCAGTAAAAACTATGGGATATCTGATAGAAGGTAGGTATATACAAGTAGAAGAGTTGGGCAAAGACGAAAGTGGTATAGAGCGATTGTCCAGGATGCGTGATCCTCCAAAGCAAGAAGAGTGAAAAGAAAAGGTATTCACATTGAACGAATGGGGTTGCCATCTAGGCGAAGCTGAACGATGAGAAAAGAAGGCGGATCCGTGAGTATCTAGACGCTGTAGACCTTCACGGAGTTGATGAGCCAGTACGTCTAGTCACTATTAGTATATTTTCTCCTAACAACACCAAAGGAGGGAGACTTACATCACCAAAAGCCTGAGGCTGGTTCGCCACATAAGCATTGCAACTAGGGTTAAGCTGGGAGCATGAATTCGAGCCCCAAACGCCACCCGCCCAGTCTCCACAGAAGGTAATGTCGAACACGATATTCAAGTCCCTAAACTTGGCATTGTAATCACATCCTCCACCGAAGTTCGCGATCGGGGTACCCCAAGTTCCGGGATCGGGGTTTCCGCTCCGGATGTTTGCGGGGATGTCGCGGGTGGCAAAGTACCACACCTTGATTCCATCGCCTGTCCACAGTGTGGCGTATACACCACCGCCGTTGGCGTTGAATTGTGAGCCGTATGTGACGGGGTTGTTGGCAGAGATGCCGCAGCCGTTGAAGCCGCCGCCGGCACCGCAGTCCCCCCCTCCGCGGCTTCCTGTCTCACCTCCTGAGCCGATCCCTGGGTTGCAGCCAGGTGAGGTATGAAGGGTGACTTGGTTGGTGGGGGCCTTGTGAACACCTTCGTAGATGTCGATCTCGCCTTGGTTAGGCCAGTTGGGACCGACCATCCAACTGCAAGTACACCGTTAGTCTTGCAAAGCATGGAGGCGATATTACAGGCAGGTGAGGAACTTACAAGGCGGGCCACGAGCCACATGCACTACCGGGCACGTGTGCAAAGTCTGCAATCACAAGCGCGCGGTTGTAGGCTGTCTTGCTCTGCACGCGTACACTCTTCCGACCAGGACCGTTGGGGTCAAGGTGCGTCGTAGAGTCTACACCCATGTAAACTTGACCGTTTTGCGTCTTGAGCAAACCAAGCTGTTGAGCTTGTTGCCCGTTAACGTAGTCTACGAAGCCATCTAGATGTTTGTTAGACACATGTGACATAATGTTTTGCCACTGCACATACGTGTAGGATCACCGATATCCTGGACGTCGAACTTGTTCACCCAGTTACTGGCATCGTACGTGTCGATCAAGTTGTATGCAGCCGAGGCATGAATATCGTCCGAGGAGTAGACATAGGATGAACCATTAGCCCAAAAGCCAGGTCCGGCTGGTAGTGCAGTGGCACCACGCCACAGGATGGGGAGAGATAGAATGAGAGATTTGAGAGACATGGTATCGTATGTGTGATCAAGATGTATTGTCGTACGAATAGATATCAAACCCGGGATTCCGTGATATACTTATAGCCATGCGCATCTTTGTCGCGACCAAGATGCGCATGCTTCCATACCCCTTGCTCACCGTCGAAGATGCATCTAGGTCGGCTGCACTTAGCAGAGGGGGATCCTCGTTGGAGATTGCATGACCTACTGGCTCGCTGTGTACACATGCCATTGGGCGCGATGATCAGATTAGGGACAAAAGCCTCGCGATGTTGCAGCACTTGTAGGGACGAAGGTGCAAGGTTCGAGCGGTTCGCGGGTAATTCGCCTAGTTGAGCAGTTCGAAATTGACCCCAGAAAACGTGGACGTGCCGCATGATGGGAGTCTAGACACTTGTAGCCTCGTGGTAGAGGTAGTGGCGGTTAGACTCGATGGTCGTTGGGCGGTTTCAGTAGTTTTGCTGGTAAACGGCTTCTGGCGCTCGTGAGTGGTGGAGAGCGATCGCCAGTTCATCAAACTGGTCTTGTTCCCGCGGACCGCATTGCGAAGCGACAGCAAAACGGGGGAAAAGTAACATGGAGATATGAAATGTGGCAAACAGAAATGCGTGTGAAAAGGAGTCGGGTGCGGCCAAGGTCACTGTTTCCCTTCTCCAGACGTTCACGTGGCGCGTCGACAGACCTTCCCGAGGTTCTTTCGGGAATAGCGCTTTCACCCCGCGACTGCCTGTTTTGCCCGACCACATCTGCATTCCAGAACTAGAAACATTCCAGAGAGTCTCGGGACAAGAACAAGTCGACTTGTGAACGGTAAGGACGAGATTTAGATGAGTTTTTGGTGTGTCGTGGTACAGACCCCGCAAGGTTTATCCCCATGGACGAGGCATCTGATGTTGGAGGTCACACTGGCTTGCTCCCACGCCACACAAGTGCTTTCTATGGTGGATTCATCGGTGTCTGAGTCTCGACCCCGGATTATCATCAGCATGCGGGGAGCTCGCGTGGTTTGAGGTAGCACTGCTTGGGTCGACTAAGAGTGCGAAGCGCCTGGTCCTCTGGTGTCCTGCGACGGTCCTTCACCGCTCAACGGATCTGTTGACTACCTGCTCGTGAGTCAAGAACGATCAAATCGTTTGAAGAGAAATTCCGGTGCGCTGTGCGAGCAGGAGAAGCAGCTGAGTCCCGAGGTCGGTTGCAGCCGCGAGTGCGGGAGCGGCTTTCCCGTAAGCATAGATGCCGTCGTCAGGATCTGCACGGAGAGTGGATTCATCGTCAAAGCTGGAGCCATGTTGCTATGTGAACGTTCCTCTTATCATTCAGGAGTCAGGTGTACTGAGCTCGTTGCTATTGGCGTATACACGGCAATGTGTTGGGACACGGCATGTATTTACGCACGGCTCGATGGGACAAAGAAATGATATAACACCAAGACTTTTAGACATCTATCCGTGCTTCCGGTTTTATCCAATAGGGTGTCTACCGACGAATACATGAGCTCCAGTCATATCTCTTCAAGCAGCTAGCGATCGGTGTCACTGATGGCTCAGACAAGTAACCGTCCGTCCTTGCGCAAGTGGCCAGTTACCATACTCACTGCGCTATGTGTATGATGGATGTAGGGAGTGGCTTTAGCATCATGCATTAACAAGAATGGCAAGGACTGAATGGTGCCTGGGTTATACCAATATATTGATGTCAACGTGCGCACGAGGTATGGAAGGCAAAGAAGAAGAGTCAACCTTGGTGAAGCATATACACACCAAAAAGCCTTAGCAGTATTTGCGATCGGGAATGAGATTCTTGGGTCCCTGTGTTAAGATACTACAGCAGTCATACGCAGTGATGATGCTCTCGAAGATGCGCAAATCTTAACTATATTTGTTACATATATGCTATAGTACCTAGGTATTCTTGCTCAAGCCTGGTGAACGTGCTGATGTAGCAATTTTGGGCGGACGATGCCGGGTGTTGGATGACTCGTAGGGACGATCCGATCTTAGTATATCTAAAGAGTTCTGCGGTGAACGCGGCAGCCACGTCTTCCATGAGTATATCGTCAGCAACCACTTACAGCGACGCAAAGCTTTGTATGAGTATATTGTCCGCTTAACGATCGCGTGGTCTCCAAGGTTGTAGAGAGAAATTTGAATCGATAAGTGCTTTCGCTGACATATTCACGAAGTCAAATATGTCATCGGGGTCTCGTTCAACGTTGCTGCGACTCAAGTTACTCACCCTTCTATGAAGAGGAGAATTCCGTCAAAGTTCTCATAATAGAAGGAGTACACCGATGCAAGAGACCAGTCAAGGCTTTAAGACTCCCGATTCCACTCGAAGTCGTGACTGTCTCACTGCCAAATCCTGGTGCAGTGTACACTCACAAAGATGACTATGGATGCCAGTCACGCCGTTCTCAGCCTTGTGGAAGTTCACTCTCTTGTAATTGCGGGCAGAATTCGTCACTACAGTCACCGAGGGCGCTGTGATGGACTCATCAACCATCATGGCCCGCGACTTTCACTCATTACCTCTGGTGGTACAATGACTCTTTTGGACTATATGAACGAACTTCCACTGTAGTTTACTTCTAGCACAATAGCAAAACTCAAGAAAGCAGCAGCAGGTGAAATCACAACCAAAACACAAGCAATATGGACGATTCCAGTCCGCCACGGTCCCCGGATGCGAATCCAACAAAGAACATGCACAAACTTGCCGCTATCTTCGGTATTGTGTCAATATTCTGGATCACCTTACTATCAATCATGGAATACAAATCGAACACCGGTCCAATACCACCGTGGTTTCACGTCTATAACACCTTATCACTAGTTGGATGGGCCACTTGGGTGGTCTACTATACCATGATCGATTCTAAACGAGAGGAAAATCCTACGCCGAACAAGCCCCATGAAGCATGGAATCTTCTGCATATCGTACCGATAGCACTCCTCAATTTCACCGTCTACAAGAGTTTGTCAGTCAAGAACAAGGCGCAACTCTGGTTCTTCGCCTTGATGGTATTTCGATACTATCGTACTGTCGTCACCAGATTCTTCTATTTTCGATATAAGGTGGCTCAACCGAGATCTGGAGGATCCAAGTTCAACTCAAAAAATTGTACGGTTATTGTGCCGACAGTCGGCCCAGGAGAGAATTCGACTAGGTTCGCGAATATGGCTACAGCAATCCTTCTCAACAAGCCAGCGCGTCTGATCTTCTCCGCTAACAATAAAGAGGCTGAAAAAGATATCAAGAAAGTGATGAAGAAATTGCAGTCGACCCTCGCAAAAGATGTTGATAATCCAATAAGAATATCCCTACAAAGAGATAAAGATGACCCAATGGACGTTGATCCAATGGACGTTGATCCAATGGACTTGGATCCAATGGAAGTGGATACGAGAGTCGGATGGACATATGTCAACCACTCCAACAAGCGGAAACAGACCTACCAGGCCATCGGGAAGGTAAACCAGGAGGGGAAAAATCGTGTAATGACGGAGGTCATCATTTTGGTCGACGATACTGCGATCTGGCATAAGAATCTCTTGGAAGCAACTCTCCCAGCTTTCAATGACCCAGAAGTAGGACTCGTCGGTACGCACAAGTCGGTTGTATACCAGCGTCTTGATACTTCGCCTCCGCAACCCGGAGACGATGAGCCAGCCACACCTTCTGCATTCGATACGGCTCAAACGCAAGAATATTTTCCCGAACAAGAAATACTGCAACCCGAAAATAGTCACAGGCCTGAGGATATGGGCTGGTTGGAGTACTGCGTACAATGGTATTGGGCAGGCATGTGGAACACCATGGGCGCGCTATATCTTATGCGCCACAGCTACGAGACAGAGGCATCTAATACCGCTGATGGTGGTGTTTTTGCCGTGTCTGGTCGAACCATGCTCGTCCTGGCTGAAATAGTACAAGATGCAAAGTTTAAAAAGGAGTTTTTAGAGGAATATGTTGGGGGCAGCGTCTTCACATGGCTGGCATGGCTTACCAGTTGGCATGTCCCGTTAGCGGGATATTTACTCGCTGGATTCAAGAGTATTGGCCTAACGGAAAAGGGAGTCGGGCCATTGCTTGCAGATGACGACAATTTCATCACACGATGGGTCATTGACCATGGGCATAGCATCAAGATCCAATCTTCGCCTGAAGCAACCATGTCCACGTCGCTGGGAAACGTGGATAACTTCAAATTCATAGACCAGTGCAAACGCTGGAGTCGCACGACGTTTCGACAAAACCCAATAGCGCTCTTCTTTGATCGAACCATCTGGTGGAAATGGCCGATCTCGGTGTGGACTGTGTACTTCCCGTGGATGTACAATGGAGCTCTATTCTGGGATGGTGCGGCAGTCCTCACCTTTTGGTACTCGAACCTCTATACCGACTCCTCAAGCGGCAATGCGCGATTTTGTTGCCTGATTCTCTTCATATGGTTTGCCAAACTCAATAAGACCTGGCCATGGTTTTGGGAACACCCTTTGGACTTCGTATTGTACTTTATCATCCCAGCCTACCCTTTGTTCACTTATTTCCACAGCTTGCTCAAGTTCGCAACAGCGATCACTTGCTGGAACAACGAGTGGTCTGGGCGAAATTTGAAGGCGGCAGAAGAAGTGGCAGGAAAGTTGAGTCCAGGGGAGGCAGCAGAGGCAGCAAGACAAGCGGCAAAGCGAGCGAGAAGACTCAAAAAAAGGTAGATCAGTAAAGCCGATCGACACCTCAAACATATCCTGGCTATATCTTTCGCTTTCTCTACCGACTTCAGTCAAAGCAGGTGGAGGGCCCGCGTCTCATTACTCGCCGATTGACACCATGGGAGAGGTGGGTGCGATGCGTTTGGTCGAACTGTTGTGTCTTGAATGATTAGGCGACATCCCTTTCGTTTCTAATGGGCGTTTGTTGTTTCCGATACCCAGGGTTTAATACAACGTGATTCAGCGTTGTTATCCATACTTAGAATGTGTAGACATTACCTAGATAGGAATATTGAATTGCTCTCATTATTAAAACGCCTTTGAATTGACTCCATACTGCGAAAAACATCCGACACCGCGAAAACTGTCGAAAATGGAAGAAGGATCATTGTGGTGCCGTGCTGTTAAGTGACTGCTGCGAAAGATCACAAGCTCCTCACTCCGGCTCGGTACCTAGTACAAATGCGACGCAACTATGATCGCAATATAACGACATGTTATGATGTATGGAACGAAACGCCAGCGTGCATTGTTCTTTATGAACGTTGTATGAGACCTCTTGTTGAGACGTGTTGCTGACACCCCGTGGTTGCTAGGGTTGTTCGGAGGTGAAGATTTCTCGCGTGGGCCCATCAAATACGTCATACCCAGTGAGGTCGCCAGATCCCTCGTTTTCCACAGCAAAAACGTGCGCAGAACATACCTCGACTACAATACAATACGAGCAATGTCGGCAGAGTAGTTTCCGTAGCCTCGATGAAAACGGCGTTTGAGCACTAGGCGCAATTGCCTTATTCGTACCTTCCTCCACCAGGGCTGAAGGCGACCCGACGTGTTGGGACCCTTCGCTCCACATCAACTCTACTTCAACTACATCCATGGATCTCTTCTATGTTCCCTCTACATTACATATGTCTTCACGTACTCCGCATAGAACGATAACGCACTGGTCGATATGTTGTGCCCTGGGAGGGCGGCGACACGCACAGCGCATCCTTCGATCCCGCTGATCCTGCCGATCCAAAGCCACGCTCAGAGGACAACCGCTCTCGAAATAGTACCATTGTGAGCGAAGGTCTATAGAGTGGTCGGCGAGCAGACACTCTGATATCGTATGCCGGATCACCAAGGAGGACGACATCGGTCCATGTGCAGGCACCCTGGGCCCTCACAGCCAAGACTCTTCATCACCTCATGGGCCCGCGCGCGCATGTGGAGTGAATGTCGCTTGGTTTGATACTCTCCTGCAGGACTGGGGTTGGCGAAGAATGGGGGCCAGAACGTGTCAGCGTACTAAAGGAGGACTTCAAGGTTGGCGCCAATCAAGTCCTTCGCCGGCTCGTCCTCCAGCGACGTACCGTGTCAAAGAAGGATAGATTAGCTCTGCTATCTCGTGGTCCCACAAGTCCCCCTCGCAGCGCAGAATTGCTTTTGCTCAGATGCCAGGTGGTCTGATCACTTTTGGTCAGGGTCTGCTCGGCCTTAGCCCTCTCAACCCCCTCAACCCCATTGCGACGGCGGAAACTCGCCAGCCTAGGGCGCCCATGTGCACCATAAGGCAGCCGCTTCAGCCTGCAGATACGGGGCGGCGCCAGGCAAGCAAAACCTTCTGGTACCGTAGCCGTGCTCGCTGGATAGCAGTCACAGTCAAGCCCAGCGACACGTTTAGCAGGCTCCGTTGCGCAAGCCAACGATAGGGCGCACTCATGAACAACAAACTGTATTGTTGGCGCTTCCATTGAAAAATGAGAATACGCGGTCAGCTCTCTTCCATTCCCGACTATCTTGAGAAATCCGGCAGTTACCACTTCTCCGCACTGCGTGGACATCTGCAGTATCTGTCCCGACACTCAGAGGCCTGAGAGATTGGGATCCAGCCATGCGCATGCAGCAGCAGGGTTGCGATGATCATGAGGCTCTGCTCGTGGAAGGTAATCTATCAGCCGAAGCCACGGTCTGGACACACGCATGGGTGACGAGAAAAGCATGCGCGGGCAGCGACAGCAGAACTCCTCGTACGTTTACTCCGCATCCTTGTTCGCTTTCGGGCCGTCATGTGTGTCGCGTCCCAACACAGCATGGCACGGCTCACGGTGCGCGGGAAGGATGATCAACCATCTGGCCGGTGTTTTCACCCTCCTAATTGGGTTCGTGGCTTGCTTGCGGGGTTGCGCGTGCATAGGCGAGACCGACGCCAACGAATTACCTTTCACACCTTGCTACTCCCTCACGGTGAGCCCGGCCGACGGCGGTCCATAATCAACATGGTACTTAAGCCCTGTAACGGGCCATGCCGCCCACACTCGCAGTCTTCTCCTCGGAACTGTGCATTCGCAATGCGAGGTGTACGATCGTAACGAGCCCAAATTTGGCTCCCGAGCTCGCACGACTTGGTGTACGATGGCGCACAGCGCTATCAGTCAAGCATGATTACAGCCCGCTGAGTATTCAAGGCTTGTCATTCGTTGTAGCATCGTTCGCATGGCATGGAACCCTAAGATCGTGATATCTTAACTAGGGTTCCGAACTATTGGTACTCAGTAGCAAGTAATCCTGTGCTGATCACCCGTCGCAGTGGCTTTGGGCGTTCCAAGTGTCTGCCCATGGCCTGTTGCTGTTGTGGTCGCACGTTTGTGTGGCATTCCAGAAGCGGATATACCGCTTAGTGAGTCTCGCACCGCACCCCATTACAGGCGGAGGGTCGCTTCAACCTTGATCGAATCAGGTTTTGATGCAAGCGAAGAAAATAAGACTACAGAGTAAACGCCCGAGCCTACATCGCGTGGCTAGTTAACGACGCAAGAGAACGTCGCGCCATCGCCGTCTCGGCTCCGGATCTAAACGGTGTGTTGACTATTCTAAACCCACTTCAATCCGTCGTGTCATTTGGGGTTAATCGTATGCTTGGAAGCTGGTGGCAGCGGTGGAAAGCCTCTCTGCGCTTACCCTTCGACGGGAATCGCTTGTCAATATTCCGGAGGTCGCCAAAGCCTCTGCAGACCTGTCCGCACACCAATAGGACATGTGCCTTCGAGCACCATTAACAGAAAATGAAACACGTCTTGCATACAGGCGGGTACAATCACGACCTGGTCAATAATTGTTCGGAGTTGAATGTGCAACACACAACAAGAGGTCGACTGGGATCTTCGCGAAACAGACCCTTTGCGCTATAGCTTGTCTCCTGTCGGCCCTTCTCATCGCTGTGTCCCGCATGCCCATACCTAAGCACGCAAGACCAGCAGGGTCAATGCCATGCGCTGGAAGATCTGGCCATTGCAAGATTTTGTGGCGGTGCGACTTCCCATACTTTTTTTGCGTTTTGAACAAGCTCTTCGGATGCTGCAGTATGCGTTCTTGGGGACTCGAGACCACCGAAGCTCAACAGTCAGCGTGGACGATGTCGTTTACCTGCCTGAGTACCGATCTGCGGCAGTGCGCAATCACAGCCATGAAACATGCTGTCTGGCTGGCTCATGCATGGCTCAAGTGTGGTTCTGGAGCGGGCGCATAGCTAAATCGATTGCGTACTCTGAATTCGAACATCCCGCGAGGCTCGGATCATAATCCTGCCGCAAAACCCAAATAGGTTCTGGCCTTGCATTTTGCAACCACGATTGCTCGCTGTACTGACGTGCGTCAGCCACATACTCCTTTGGGGATTTATGCCCTGTCAAAATGCACGGCTCCCCTACCGCGTTGAGAGCGTGGGTCGAGGACTGCTTGACAAGAGTAGCTTCTGGGCCTAAAGTAGTCTCAACTGGTCAAGTGGCACGGATTCCAAGGCTGTTCTCCCCGCACACACTATCACTAGCTCTTCAAAGCCACCATGGGCGGCCTCTAGTATATACCAGGTGGAAAGATTAGTGATGCGCCCATGGCGACATGATATACTGGAGGGTGAAATATTGCTGATGGCGTCAGACGGGTCCCAAGCCGATGCTAGACAGCGGTGTTACATTCCATAGTCGAGGTGCATCAGGGTGTTGTAACGCAGTCAATGAACAGGTGCCAGTTGCACTGCGGCCGGTATACTTGGCAAAAACCAGGCGGCACTGCTGATAGGAGGGCTCGTACCAGCGAGGGTGCGGTTGACGCCTTCCACAACCTTATCCATTTGGTCGGGCCAGGAGGGTCCAGGGGCCACGCGAACAAGATGTCACGCTGATTACCAGACGCTGCGTTAGTATGGTACGGAACATGAGGTCCGTGTATGACAGCTAGTCCTCGGGAGCCTCTGGTCAAAGACACACGGCGTGTGCACATGGCGTGCCGTGGCAGTGCAAGGTCCCAGAGCGAGATTGCTCTGACTTGGCTCCCCACACCCGGTCCAAGGCTACGAAACGGTTACGGTTGTAGGGCAAGTGTGTTTGCTCGCGACCAGACAACGCCCGCGCCCACCACTTCGAAACGCAACCAAGATTATTCAGAGGGCCATGTCACGCCATGCCACAGTAGCCTTGCGATGTGCTCATGTAGGCGGTCACCTGTGCCATGACGCACCGCGACTTCAAAGGCTGGTTAGTCATGAAGAGTGGGCATGCTGGAGTCAGTCCCGCAGTGACGATGTGACGATGAGAAACACGGTGAGGTCAGCGCGATACAGGGCCTGCTGGAGAGGCAGTGCACCTGGGCAGCGACGAGCCCCACGAGGACTCGCTTAACGACCCGATTGAGGGCAATGGTCTAAGATTAGCACTGCCCCACGTCCAATGAGACGTCATACTGCCTGCACAGCCGCATGCTAGCGTCACCAGCCACAGCGGTCCGGGCAAAGCGAGAGGATCGCGTACCAGATGCGCTAAGGGCCACCAGGCGTGCGGAATGGCAGGACAGCTTCCCAGTCCTCCCATGGCTCCCCGACCGAAGCGGTGATCAAGTGTGCGTCTTCTCCAGGGTCTATCCCTAATGCGCTTGTCTTGCCCAGATGCAGCATGAAAGCTCCCACGCGCTGCTCGCCTACTCGCTGACGTCCCTCTACCCCTCGTCACTTTCGGCATGGCTTGCTCTGTTGGTGCGTCGACTTGCGTGGACAGGGGTCGGGCACACCGCGACTCCCAAGGGGTTAGTGCTACCACTGGGAGGCCGGAGCGCGCGATCGAGGCGGGGACGTGAATTGACGGCGGCCGGTAACTTCTGCCTTCTTTTTATTTTTCCTAGCGTGGCCTGACCGTTTCCTAATCTACCACCTCATGCCAGAGGCCCAAGCGCATAGGGCAGTCAAGCCTCCAGGACAGGGGCCTGGCCTGCCGTCGTATAGCTTCGTGCACTGTTTCCCGCTGGGGGCCATTGCGGTCTTGTCTTGGGCCTTATGTATAAACCAACTTCGCCCCCCAAGGCATCGTCCTCCATCCAGGCCTATGATCAACGCAAACACTACTTCATCCAGATCCTTTCCGAAGCCGTGGATTACCCTTCAGGATCATAGTCCTTCCGGCTTCTGACTTGTCCTTCGCTTCAGCCAGCCGCCTCCAGGACTACTCAACGGAGAGGGACTACGCGCTGTCACTCCCGTACCCACATGCAGTAAAAGATCAACAGAGTTTCGACGCCCTTTGACTATTCGCCGACTCATACGACAACCTTAGGATTTGATCGGCACTTCCTCCGGGAAGGTAAGCTTTCCCCTGTCGGTCCCTTATAATTTGCGCTAGCCCTACCAACCAAACACCATCGATCCGATCGCACTTACTCAGTGCTTATGCTGACTCCATTTACGGATATAGGCATCGGCTGCAGTTCAATTCCTATCTGTTGCAACCTGCATTGCTCCACCTACCACATTCTTCATCATGGTTGACTACGCCCAATATACACCGAACATGGCTCACGACTTCGAGCTTTACTCCAACCCTCAAGAACAGCATCTAGAGTTTCACCACAACCAACCTTATGTGCCTGCCTCAACATATGCCATGGAGCACGCCTTCAGCGCTCCCTTTGACCCAATGGCTACTCTTGCAGACCTCCAACGGCCACAAGATCTGCAATACCACTACGATGCCATCGCACAAGGTGTCAAGCCATATCAGTATCAAACCCCAGCAGGCTCTCCACATTCCACTTCACATTCTTTCCACGAAATCCCCCCTGTTCTTTCGGCATCTTCCGAATCTGGCGCTTCAGTGTCGTCTTCTGCAATGGGCTCCCCATCACTTGTTCCGCAATTCAACGAGTCGTGGCACACACTGGGACTCGGTGCCTCTTCTGGCTATGACTACTCAGGGATGGTAGCGGCTGATAAGTCGTATGTGGGTAAGTCGACTGTTCCTTTACCGAAAACCTCGCCTGCTTCTTTCATTACATCTTCTCCGTCGCAAAACTTCATGCGGCATGTATTCAAGACGCCTATAACTCCAGCTTCAGCCAAATGGTCTTCCAGATCAGATGGGCGGGGGAACTCTCTTTTACCGGACACGGTCAACACACCCCGTATTCCATCAGTCAATTCTCCTTCAGTCACTTCAGTTCCGCAGTCATTTCATTCTTTTCAGTCTTGTTGGTTGCCTTTCAACGCTACATGCAACAGAAACTAACGCAATTCAAGCAGATCCTAATCTCATTCAGCCCTTCCCATTCGCACCTCAAAGCCCATACCCTGAGATCAGGGCTACTCCATCTCCCTATTTCCCCATTGTCGAGCAGCCGCCTTCCCCAGCTCTCTCTCAACTCTCATCGCGCACCCAGAGTCCCGGTTCGGCACACATTAAAGGAGGTAGCGCTAGCCCATACCTACACACTCAACGATATCAGCCTTACCCTCAACCTGGCGGACAACGGCGAGGCTCCGTCGTCTCTGTCCAATCACAAAACTCAGGCACCAGCCGCAAGAGTGGAAGCAGCTATGACAAGGATGAGACCCGCGAAAAGGGCATGTGCCCACTGCCTGAGTGTGGACGCGTCTTCAAAGACCTGAAGGCGCACATGCTCACACACCGTGCTGAACGACCAGAGAAATGCCCTATCGCGACCTGCGAATACTACTCGAAAGGTTTCGCAAGGAAGTATGACAAGAATCGCCACACACTCACACACTACAAGGGTACCATGGTCTGCGGCTTCTGTCCAGGTAGCGGTTCAGCGGCTGAGAAGTCGTTCAACCGCGCTGATGTCTTCAAGAGGCATCTTACATCTGTTCACGGTGTCGAGCAGAACCCTCCCAACAGCCGCAAGAAGAGCCCATCTGGCCGCAAGGCTTTCGGTGGCTCGCAGCCCAGTGTTGCTGGTACTTGCTCCACTTGCTCGGTCACCTTTGCCAACGCGCAAGAGTTCTACGAGCACTTGGACGACTGTGTGCTCCGCGTCGTTCAGCAAACCGATCCCAGCGAGGCCATCAACCAACGCCTGCTCACATCGGTTGCAGAGGATCCAGATGTCACCGAGACACTCGATCGCAATGGTCTGTCTAAGAGCATCGAGTACACTGTTCCCAGCTACGATGAAGACGAAGAGGATGACTTCGAAGAAGACGAGGTCGACAACGACGACCACGAAGATGCCACTTACGGCTCTCGTCGCGCTCGCTCTGGCAAGGGCGCAATCAAGTCCTCCAAACAACATTGACAATTAACACATCCCCGAGGTGTCGGCGCAACGCAGCACGTCGGGGGTGGCAACCACCTACCAAACCACCAATCCTCCTCTCGCGTCCAGAAGTCGGGCCCTCGGGCCGGCCTTACCTTCTCCAAAGGAGGCGTAGCCATCACCGGCTCTGGACGCAAGAAGCGCAAGAACTACCCCGTATCCTGGGGTTGCGCAACCGACAAGATGAAGATGAAGAAGCGCGTCTTGTGCGTATACGACGGCCAGAGAAGGCTGTGGAAAGACGACATGATGCTCGATCAAGAGTTTGAAGTGCGCATGAAGCTGCCTGACGGCAAGTCTTACGTCACGGATCTGGACGTTCAGACCTTCAACCGCGCAGATGCCCTGCATTCCGCGACGAGGGAGGAGAGAGGACCTTGGGTGCCCGACAACATTGTCGGCGGCATCAACGGGGTGAGCATGGAGACAGCACCACTAGAGTGGGGTCTCTGAGTACGAATAGAGATACGACATTTGCTTTTGCTGCGAGCGTTTTGAGCGATATGGATGGGATCTACAAAAGGTTGCAAGGCAGCCCGTACACAGACACGGCATGATGAACGAACGAACACCCCAACGAACTTCTTTGCTGTACTACCAAGCTTGTAGCTTTTGTATTCTTGTACTTTTCTCGATCGATACCACTGGGGCTTTGGAGTTTGCGCTTGCGAGCGAGATGTAATGGACGTGCTGGACGCGAAGACATAGTATCTGAATCTATTGACTATTACCATCATTATACTTGCACACACATGATCTGTGACTGCTTCCAACATTTTATTACTTGACTACACGTAACCTCTACATACTCAGCCCGTCGAAACCGAAATCCTACACATCTGAAGCTCCGAGGAAGTCCAACTACCCCAGGGCGTGGAAGGAGCTGACATCAACCACGCCCCGGACCTGCGTCGTAGATCTCCCCAAAGTACGGTCTCTGGAAATTTCGGCTCTCATACCCGTTACTCAAAGTAAGCTGCCACAACTTTCCGATGACCAGTTTATCCAGGGCAGCAGCAGGGCGTTACCCGTTGCGTTGGCCTGGATTCAGCCTCAGCCACAGCTGACCATGTGTGTGGATAAAGTATGGGACGGACGGCTGGTCTTTTTTCGATACCGGAATATCGGGTCCGCGTAAGCGTGGAGAATGCATTGACGCAAAGAATTGTTTTTCTATGGGGGTATGTTTAGTTATTACGGTGGCGTGGAGGGTCTGCGGGTGCGTGCTCGTGGGGGACGCTGACGCTTTGGCGATGCAGGAGGGCATTGAACTGGATTTGTTTTCGTAGCTAGAGAGGTTATGCGCAGAGGTAAGTCTAGAGGTTTGCAGGCCTAGGCATTGTAGCCATAAGCAAGTATCGAGTGCCTGCATGGCCGTGTTTCAACGATATGTACTCTCATGGCCTCGTCCTGGCTATTGTCGAGTCTAGATGCACATGCGGTGTTGTCTTCAGAAACAACGCTTGAGACGTCTGGACAACTCCGCGGCCAGATTATCGCGCCAGGCTTGCTTCACTCAATCCATGCTGCAGGTGGGAGAAGGGAAAGGCCACAAGCGCCCCCGTGACTGCGCGTCGTGATGGAACCTTGGAAAGTGGGCGAAGCGACGAGTGAAGGTCCGTGCTCAGTTCCCCGCGGTGGGAAGGCAACAGCGACCTAGACAGCTTGTAGCTCCATCGACTCCCAGCAGTACGTCGCAACCACGCCCTCTCACCCTCTCACAACACTGCCGCCATGGCTTCGAATATCGAGCAATCGCCTTTCTTCCAGGACCAGAGGTCAAAGGGCGAAATCGTTGTTAAGGGTATGACATAACCAATACAACAATGGCGCATGTTCGCTAACTCCGATAGACCCTCCCAAGTTTGACCTAGAATCATACATCGCCAACTACACCGGTGCGTCTCTTACAATATCTCTCCATATATCTGTATACTAATTCGTCTTGCAGGGTACACACGAATCGACCGCCTGCACCACATCGGCGCGCACTCGCCATACCTCGCCGCCGACGCATACCGCCTTGCCATCGCGGAGGCAAAGAAGGGAAAGAATGTTGCTCTATACCAGAATCTAGTAGAGGAATACAGTCGCATATCACCACAAGATGGTGCTTCCGTGGTCGACACGACATGGGTTGAGAGGCAGACGAGGATGGTGCGCGAGGAGCACGACCGGCTAGAGCATGAGTTGAAGTCATACAAGAACAACCTGATCAAGGAGAGCATACGAGTAAGTGGAGCCATGAGGTGGGCAGGTCTCAGTACACTGACACTCTGCAGATGGGCAATGAAGACCTCGGTCACTTCTACTACGACACCGGCGACTTCAGCAGCGCACACAAGGCCTACATGAAGATGCGCGAACACTGCACCTCCCCCAAGCACCTCGCCGATATGACCCTCCGCCTCGTATACGTTAGCATCGCACAAAAGTCATGGACAACTGTACTAGCCAACCTGGCCAAGTCGGAAGCCACCCAGCTCAAGGGCGATGAGAAGGCTAAGCTGGAGCCCATCATCTCTGCCTGCAGCGGTCTATGTCACATGGCTACCGGCAACTACCGCGAAGCTGCGACAGCTTTCCTCGGCACCTCAGCGGCATACCTGACTGCAGAGCCAGCAGCAAACATTACATGGCAGAAGGAGGTCATCTCCGGCAATGACATCGCCGTATATGGCGGTCTCTGCGCGCTTGCCTACATGGACCGTACCGACCTACAGAACAAGGTGTTAGCAAACAGCGAATTCCGCAACTTCCTTGAGCTCGAACCCCACATCCGCCGCGCCATCAACCTCTTCTGCAACTCCAAGTACAGCGCCTGTCTCGAAGTGCTCGAAGGCTACCGCAACGACTACCTTCTCGACCTCTACCTCTCCAAGATGCTCAACACAATTTACAGCCGGATCAGGAGGAAGAGCATTGTGCAGTACTTCATACCCTTCAGCTGCGTCACGCTCGACGAGATGGCCTCCAAGTTCCCGCCAGCACAGGGCCGAACCATTGACGAGGACTTAGAGGAGATGATCAACCAACGCCTTCTCAATGCGCGGATAGATCTTGTCGACCGCCTGCTCATCTGCCCACCCACCGACCCCCGCCACGACGTACACGCCGACGCTCTCAAAATGGCCGAAGTATACGATCACACCCTGCGCCTCCGGTTGACGCGTCTCAACATGCAAGCAGCGGGCATGGAGATATCGTCTCAGAAGATGAACGATAAGTCGTCTGGCATGGGCGGCGGCATCAGTGACACGTTCCGCGGTCTAGGTCAAAAGATTGGGTTCTAGTAGATCATTCATGACAAAGTTATTCCGGCCCATGCTACTGAAGGAAGATGGCGCGGCGGCTAGCATTTGCAAGGCGTTTTGGGAGCGGCATGGCGTACATACACAGGCTCTGGGAGAAAGGCCATTAAGCGGCATTCTGGCGTTGGAATCATGATGTAGCGCAGTTTGACGGATGAATCAACACGTTTATCAAGACACGTAGTCACCGTTCTACTTCTTCTGTACGTTTTGTGTGCAGTGCGTGATCATTCCTTCATTCATATTCGTATATCCTGGGTATCTGGTATGTGTATATATCCTTTCTCAACGCCAAACTTGCTAGATCATGATAAACTCGCTAAGGTAACTGCAATATTTGTCTCGTAAAATGATAATCAGCCACTTCTTTGATAACGATCAGGCTGCACGGTGCTTATCTGTACACACCTGGCCCTCTGGCCGCGGCCCATTGGTCCTGCTGCTGCTGCTGCTGTTGATTCTGCTGTTGGTTTTGTTGCTGCTGCTGCTGCGGTGCCGCGTTTTGGTACCCGTAGTATCCATTCGGCGCCCATGCAAAGTCGCCGCGCCCAAATCCGTTGTTCGTATCAATGGCAGGTGCGGGTGGTTGTTGAGGTTGCGTCTGCGGTAGGTGTGCGTTCGTCTGTCCCGCTATGCTATTCTGCGCTACCATGGGCTGTGTGGCCATGTTATTGACCGGCAGCGTGTTCTGTGGCATGGTTCGGTGGAGGGTTCCGTACGGAGAGTGGTTGGAGTGATTGGCGGTGAAGTAGTTTGGGTGTGTCTGGAGCTGCGTAGTCTGCATTTGCTGCGCGGCTGCTGCTTGGAACTGTTGTTGCGGCGTGAGAGATTGTTGCGGGGGCCCAATCTGCTGAGGCTGGGTCTGCTGAGGTTGTTGCGGCGCGTTCGGTAGGCGTTGTTGAGGTGATTGACTACCCATTTTGTAGGCCAGTTGCTGCTGCGGGCTTCTTATGCCGTGAGGTAGGCCCTGATTGAGTTGCTGCAGTTGTTGGCGGTGGTTCGGAATCGACTGTTGACGCTGCAGCTGCTGAGAAGCATGAGGCAGGGCCTGCGCTTGAGTGACATGCGGCCGATGACGGGACTGTGGTGGGACCTGCATTTGCTGTGGCTGCTGCTGCATGTGTACTTGTTGTGATTGTGGTGTGGGCTGCGGATGCGGTTGCGGCGGTTGCTGCTGGGCTTTAGATTGCTGCGATCGAGGCCGCGGTCCCATCTGCGGCGTCTGAACAGGAGTAGTCGAAGCCCGCTTCTCCGACTCAAACTCTCGTATCTTGGCCTTTGCTTCCTCAAGCTGTTTCTTCAGTATCTCAAGCTCGGACATGGCATTGTTCGCAGATTGACGTGCGGGTTCGGGGGTATTGGTGGGTGGGCGCTGGTCCTCGCCGTTGGCTGGTTCCGAGTAGAAGCACACCCGTTTCTTGTCGTTACAGGTCGAACAGGCAGGTCTTATGCCATCGCACTGCGTATGTCAGCTCCCGTTACTTGAACATGCCGTGGGCGATGTCTTACCTTGGTCTTCTTTGCCTTGCAGACGTCGCAACTATTCCTTGGACGTTTCCGCTGTGGTGCTGCTATGGCTTGCGTTTCAACGTGTAGTGTAGGGCGTGGTCCGGGGTGGGGTCTTTGCGGAGGAGGACGCTGGGGCGGGGGCGGAGGCGGCGGAGGAGGTGGTGGAGTTTCGATGATTGTGTGCTGTGACTCTGCAGGTGGCTGGATCAGCTCCAACAGCGAACGGAGACTCTGTTGCCGCAAATCGCTCTCGATCGTGTTGAAGGGCCTCGGGGGCTCTGGTGGAGGGTCGGATCGCTTCTTCTTCAACACCCGGGGTGTATCGGGATCTTCGCTGCTCAGCTGCCTCGAGCGGCTTGCGAGCCTAGCCAGCGCCTCCGGGTCATTCTCCTCAAGATACTTGCGGCGCTTCGAGTCCTTTCGTGGCGGCGGGGCGCGCTCTTCGTATGTCTTGTGTATGGGCACATGCTTGTAGAAGACGTCGAGCGTCTGTTTGGTGGCCGAGAACTTGATGGACAGGACGCCTTTGCAGTCGTAGACGGGCTTCGTGGCGCGCTTTCCCTGCTTGGTGCCCTTGCCGTTGGCAGCGCGGTCCTTGTTGAGCAGCGAGTCGTTGCAGTAGTAGGAGAAGCGGTAGCTGTCGTCCTCCCGGCTGATCCAGCAGTTGTGGAAGCTGTAGCGGTATCCGTCGATCCTCTGTATCATGTCCACGCAGCACTTGGCAACCGCCCGCTGCTTGCGCATCCTCACCTTGGAGTCCTCCGGCGTCGGCTGCAGCGCCTCTCTGACGCTCAATGCGACTTTCTGCTCCGCCGTCTTGGACGCGCCATTGTTGGGTTCAATAGACTCGGCATAGCTGTGCCCCAGCGCGGCAGTGGGGTCCGAGAGGGAGTGGTACTGCGCGGGGAAATGCGCAGACTGGTAGCCGGGTGGTGCATGGTTGTATTGATGGGCGAGGTGGGGTGGTGGGTGTTGTTGTTGCAGCGGCGGCGGCTGAGTTGCCTGCTGAGGCTGCTGGGACGGCGTCTGCTTAGTCGCCAGCGGGACTGCAAAGGACGTGTCGATATCGAAGGCGAATTGGGCCTCGGTGTGCTCAGGCTCCTTGGGGGGACTCCTCAGGTATTCGCGCAACGACGTCTCGAATTGGTCGAGGGAGCGCACAGGGCCAAAGGACACGATCTTGGCCTGCGAGTCCTTTGGCTGCCGCCCTCGTTGGAGCTGCACCGGTGCCTGAGGCCACAGCGCCGCGTCGTTGGCATCGTGTGCACTCGTGGGTTGAGCATGGACGGCGGCCATGAGTGGAGCCACCCGGGGTAGTGAATAAGGAGCTTTTGAGATAGCCGTCTCCCGGTACCGTGCAAGCCTTGGCGAGAGCCCTAGACGCGATCATCAACATTCATGGCGAGACTGACGGATGCCGAAGACGTGCTAGAGGCGCGTAGGCATGGCGGGAAGTATCAGAGTTCAGATGGTAGTAGTCTAGCAGCTTCACCGCGTCTAGATACTCTACGACGCCATCAAAGCACGGGTGTAGGCATCGGAGCGTGCCTAGTCCGATGACGCATCATACAACCCGAACCTGCATGATTCTCTAGGTTGACATCGCGTCGCTTGCCATGCTGTGGATACTCTCTGTGGGAACGCGTCAGAGAACTACTTGTGTTTTTTCTTTTGTTCAACGTGTGGGTGAACATGTCGGGTATCTGCATACCTGCGCCATGTGGCGCTGTTCATTCCAAATCACAATATCACGTAGCAGCCATATGTCAATATTGAGAGAACCGTGTATTTGTTTCATTTTACTGACTTCGTAATCCCTCCTATTCAGGTAAGGTCCTCAAACGTAGCACTATGAGGTCGAAGCCCACAATTCCTGACTTCCGCGTCATACCCTAGCATCCGCCGCCAGCGTGTAATGGTTCTTACACATCTGAGTAACACCCAAGTGCGACAGGCACTCACGCTCATGCTGAAGGAAGAACGCGTCGTTGAGTTTGAAGATCTTGTTACAACGCCCACAGCGCACGGCAAGTTTCCAGAAAGCCCAGCAGACATCCAAGTGATCCCACATATCCTTGCGTTCGTACGATTGAAGGCAATGGTAGCACTTTCTGTGCCGATCGTCAGGGTTCTCTACTGGACGTGCAATGCCTATGTGCTTGAAATCAGGGTCGAAACATGGGAGCTTCATCTCAAGGAGCTCGTCATTGCTTTGCATTTTCTTCATGTTGGTCTCTTGCCAGGAATTGTACCAATGTTTTTTCCTTTTTTTGCCGGGGATTTGGAACTCATTAGACGATAGGGATGCTTTTGTAGTCGGCATAACTGGTTGTTTGCCCTTGATCGCCTTGCCAATGGCAGCGTCAGCAGTAGACATTACCTTATCAGCGAAAGAACGGCTAGACGCATCGCTGTTCTGTTTTCCTTGATCAGTCTTTGACCCTCTTGCCCAGGACGATGTATGATGTATTGCTATCTCCTTCTCAAGCTGAGCAATCCTCCCTTGAGCGATACGGAGGGCTGCGTCGTCGTCGCGCTTCTGCTTTCGCATGGTCTCAATCTCTTCATCCTTCAGCTGTATCGCTCGGAGGAAAACATCCAGGGGTACTTGTTGTTCGCTGTTGCTTCCCGCCATTGTTGTTTGGGTGATAGTGTAGGGAAGGCGAATATCCGGGTAATACTAGGCAAAGGGTCGATATGGTGTGGAAACAGGGCAGTGGGGCAATGGTATTTGTATGGCTTCAATTGGGTCCAGATCGCAGATTTCTAGAACTTTGTAAAGCAAACCGCTTGTTGGCAGAGGTTGTCACGGAGCTGGAGCAGAGAGTAGTTCTTTCTAATGTTTTGCGAAGGCCAGCATGAGCCAGAATGGTGCAGTCACTGAGAGTTCAGAAAGCACAAATTGGAGCCTGTCTTTCAATGTCATAGATTGCTTCAACAGTAGACCGGTAGCCGCAACTCTTGCTAGTATTGATACTGTAGAGAGGGGCAAGCTAGGCTCGACTGGCTTGGAGTCTGTAAGAAAGCTGATAGAAAGAGCTGGCCGGAATAAGGACGTACTAAGATGTGTTATTTGCCAGTGATAAATTCCAGCTGACAGACGCCAATCGAACGAAGGCCATCCTCCATAACTCCGTGGCATAAGTCCAAGGCGGCCGCACTGGCCCAAGCTCTATGTCGAACAATTCTGCTTCCAGGGATCGTAACGGAGTCGAAAGGAGCTGCTATCAAGCCGGTACTCAATAAACGCAATATCTGTCTTCAGGCTTCTTCGTGCTTCTCCAAGAGGTTTCTGGCTTGAGAAAGTCTTCATCCTCCACTTCCAAACCCCGCCCATCTACCAATCATCATCACTATCCTCCCCCGCAATATCCCCTCCCTTAATCCTATCCACCACCCTCTTAACCCCCCTCTCCACACTCTCCCCCTCAATCGCACACCCCTCATGCCAAACAATCGCATCCATAACACCATCCATAAACCACATCAGCGTCGGCACAAAGCTCACATCTAGCATATTTCCCAGATCAGGCAGTGAATACATGTCGAAGCAGTAAATGTCGACTACATCGTACTGTTCGTAGGATGTTGACGGAAGTAGCTTTTGCAGGGCGGTGGCTACCTCGTTAGTGGTTTCGTCTTCGGGCCAGTAGGCTAGGAGGACGGTTTTGCCGGCTGTGGCTTTGATGCAGGCGGCGTATTCGGCTAGGTTGGTGATTTGGGAGAAATGCGCCATTGTGGGGGATGTGTTGGTTTGTGGTGGGTGGTTAGTTGGTTGGAGGTTGTATGTAGATGGGGCTGAGCTAAGCTTTTGTTCGTCGCTGGTGTCGCCCCTCATCCACGCGGGGATCCACGCTCTACCATGTACACGCCGTACGATGATCCTTTGGTCGATCTCTGCCGCGACAGACCCCAAAGCCGAACTGGGAGAATGGCGATATCTTTGTCGAATTGTCAGTGCTGCAGCTCGGTTGCAATGGCGATAGGTGAGGCCGTTTGACGCGTCCCCATTCGCGAGGAAGCGCGACTTCTCAGAAGAACGCGTTAGACGAGAGGAGTATTCTTCCGCCATGTACCAATTGTAACGCCAATGATCTATACAACGTATGTCACATAGAACACTCGTTCTACACGCATGTTCGCTGACAAGCTACAGCTAGGAACATAGTCTATTCGCTTTCGCCGAAGCCTTCCTCGATCGCCAACCCTCCAATGTCGACCATATTCCGCGCGCGATAGTCTCAATATGAACGGCCATTCCGTGGAAAATTCCAGACATATCGCGTAGCAGCACGATTATCAGGTCGAGCGCGCCGGCGCCTACGACCCGAAGACCGCCGTGATATGACATACGCAACGAAGCTGCTTTCAGCCAGCATGCAAAGGGCCATTGTCAGGAAGACGAGGGACATGCAGCATATTTGGAACAAGACCACTGGTTCGTAGATCATGATGTCCTGGACCATGCGATGTTCAGCCTGGCCGTCAAGGCAGTTGATGCGCGGCCATGCAGCTGCAGCACCGTCCGTGAGATGGTAGCACGCATGCATCTCATGGATGGTAGAAAGGCATTCAAGCTAGAAGCCCGTGGACATATGTTCAGTTCAGAGAGTACGTTGGACCTGACAATTTAAACAGGGAGGGGACACGCGATGAACAATGAAGTAAATATGCAACACTATCTCAGTCTTTTCGTCAACAGCCCGTCCTTTCTTCCCGTGGTTTAGTTCACTCAGCACCAGGGACCCTCGTTCTCGTGACAGTACTGGTCACAGTGCTCGTCCTGACGACCGCGCTGGAAACTGTCCTTGTGACTGTCGTACTAGCTGGGCCCCTGGTAATGAAGCACGAGCATGCAGAGGATATCTCGCCGCTGCCGAGGCCAAGCGAGATGTGGATACCCCCTGGCAAACCAAGCGAGATGTCCAGTTGACGCTTACGTACCGGTAGCTCTGCGGGGCATGCGGCATCGTAGAATGTGTACGGGCTCATGGGATTGTAGTTGGTGTTTTCGATACTACGAATACAGTCAGCAAGAGGTTGGGACTACGCAAAGGAGCTGGACTTACGCAGTAACGTCGAAAAGCATGCAGTTGGCTTCACCGTAGCCAAAACTCAGGCATTTGCTATCGGCCTTGCAAAGCGCGCTACACGCTTGGAACGTGTTCTTCGTACCGCTGGACTCGAAGTAGTAGGCTGGCGTGGTCTTGACGTATGCTACTATGCCGCAGCTTGGTGTGCCTGTGGGCGTGCTGTGGAGATGTTAGCTATTTGCAGTGTGCGAAATTTGGTGCTATGGGGACGTACGGAGATGGGCTCGAGACGAGAGTTGAAGAAACAATCGTGGAAGAAGGCTGTATAGGAGTGGGCGAAGAGGATGGCTTAGGTGTTGAAGATGAAGACGGCTTGGGCGTCGAAGACGAAGACGGTGTTGGGGTCGATGACGATGTAGGCCTCGGCGTAGACGAGGGCGTCGGTTTAGGGGTGGCACTGGGCGTCGGAGTAGAAGTGGGTGTCGGCCTGACAGTTACCGTGGTTTTCCGAGTGGTAGTTGTGGTGGTGGTGACGCCACTGGTTATGGTAGAAGTTGCGGTTCCCGAACGGAGGATGTTACTGCAGAAGAGCGCCGCTTCAGACGTATGCCCATAAAACGCATCTAATCCACAATCTTCAACTAATGACGGTGTTAGACAGATTCATCGACGTGCGAAACGAGCCCTGGAGTCCTTACCATCAGGATATCCGAACTGCCTCTTTATGCGACTAGACGCTTCTACACTTGCAGTGAGCGCTACTGCCAAACCTATGGAAAACTTCATAATGTCGTTTCTGGCCTTGGCTAAAAGCTGACTTTGGGGGGATGAGTTGGTACCGGGATTGATGCTGAACGTCCATGTCTTATAGACAATATCTATGCCTGCGACCGCAACATTTTCACACTAAAGAAGCGGCTGAGCTGGGTATTGCATCTCGCATTTCATTTGGATAGATGAACCACAGACCCCTTGCCTGCCTCGGTGTTCTGGCTCGGTCAAGATGGGCTAGAACGCGTACTTTCCTGCTACCGCCATAAATGAACACGAGAACGTGACCGTCGCCCGCCGGCAGATGTTGATCGACTGATGTTTACCGAGCAGAAGTTTGCACTTCTTCCTGCAGCCAGGCAGGTGGCTTTCCCGATGTTACGGTCCGAGAGTGAATTGGCCAATCAGCAACCTTCTCGAAATTGAGGACGGAATATCGAAAAGTATGGGGAATTAGGCTTAAAGTAAAAGCGCGGACAGGGCTGCCGTAGTTGGACCCTTTATCCCTACGCATCCCGGCAAAATTGGACTGCGTTGAGCGAATATGTTAGTGCTGCTGCGCAAAAATAGCGACAATGTCCACTTGGTGCGGAATGTTGCATTAGACCTCTTCGCTAAGATTCAGACAGATCTGATCTGACTTCCTGACTCCACGCTATTTGCACGGCTTTGCACCAGAAGATGCGGGCCAGACACTTCGAATAAGTGAACGTCTATGCCTGTTCAGGTACGGACCGAGACGGACGTACTGACTGCGTTACACGGGAAGGCACAGGAAACTTCGCTTTGAGTGTTTCCGTGAACAGTCCAGAAAGCAATGAAATATGCGAGGAAGAGACTGAACAGGTGCGCTATAATCTACATTAATACAACGACGAAAGCTAGTGACATCCTAAGACAGTGTAGACTTTTAGGGCATGTATTGATAATCAGCGTCTAACATTTTCCTTGAACGGTATGCAGAGATGAAGCGCGCTATCCACGGCGTACGACAAACCACAGCCGCCTTGTACTGTCGTCCAGATGGAATTTCTGATGGTCCCTGCCCAGCGGCTTGAGCTTGGCATCCACTGTGAAGTTGATACCGAGATCGTTGCCTATCTTGTTCCACATGTTCTGGAAGCTCTCCACATTATGTCGATACATGGTGCCTGTAGGACCCTCCTTCTCGATGGGCTCGGTGGCTCCGACCTGTCGACCGAGTATCATCGAGCCTGGTCGCGGGCACAGCAACGCGACCACGGCTTTGGATACTTGGACTTGTTTCTCGTATCCCCACAGATGGAAGAATGACCCTGCATACACCATATCCATCTGACCTTGGATATTCGTGAGCGCTGACTGAGGGTCGAAGATATCCGCTGTCATGAATCTCGTCTTGAGCTTCTCTCGATCCCGAAACAACTCATAGCCCAGGTCGATGAAGTCCGGCTGTAGGTCGCAACCGTACAGATTTTCAGTCGGTGCTCCATCGTTCGCAAGCAAACGAATGGTCTGGCCAACGCAGCAAGCCATGTCTAGCAGCTTTTGACCTTTGCGTAGGCGTTCCACAATCTCTTTGCGCTCGTCCGGGAGCTCGGAAAAACTGGGGTCGAGAAACCGAAACTGCCCAATACAAGGATATGGATGGACTTTCCAGGCTTTCTCGCGAAGTCGGACAACATGATCAAGTACGTCATCTGATGGGATTCCACTCCACGTTTCGAGAAGCCGCTGGGTCTCGGGAGGAATATGGTCGTTTGAAGGGTTTTGTTCGAACCAAGCAGGCACCGTGGTCTCGGGCTCTTTGATATCGGTCATCCTGATATGTACCTTGCCAGCTCTCGTAAGA